CAAGAGCGCGCAAGTGCAACACGAAAAATGACCAATATAATGGATATTGCTGTAACTTTTCTTTTTCTTGATGAATTTTTTGAAACTCATAATGTAAGGATACATTAGTAATATAGACAAGATGGCATGGTCAAAATAGCAAGATCTCACGCGCATGCACGTGCGCTTCGCTCTGATTGGCTGAAACTAAAGTCTCACTATCTTTCTTGTTTCTTGTCATAATCTATTGAAATTTGAAACATAGTCCTACATTATGAAGATGTACAGCATGATATATACAAATTCTCATGAAAGCATGCGCATGCACGTGTGCTGCAATCTGATTGGCTGAAACTTTATATGGCTATATCTCCTTTGTTTTTTGACGAAATGTTTCGAATTTTAAAATATAGTCATTTATTTAGATATCCTACTCCCAAAGAAATTTTAGTGAGAGATATAAACGGGGGAAATGATGGAATTTTTGTTATTGGAAAAATTGGAAATAAAGAGACAAATATACTAGTAGATACGGGTGATAGTATGACTATTGATCAATACGATAAAGTTAAAATTTATGAAATCGCGCGCATGCATGCGTGCTGTAATCTGATTGGCTGAAACTTCAAATGGCTATAACTCCCTTGTTTTTCAACCAAACAGGATTGGATTTAGAACATAGATAAATATAAGGGACTCCTACAATAAGGTGTAGTCATTATGCACGTGCTTGCGTGTGCGTGCGCGTGAAACGAGTAAAATTAAAAATACACTCGAATGAGTGTATTTTTTAATACTTTTGGATAAAATGCTTTGATATTAAGTATATTAAAATTTGAGATAGTGTAGACAAGATAATATGGTCGTTACGCACATGAACACGCATGCAATGCCTATTTTTAAATATATTTTGTATTTTTCTTGGAAGACCTTGATTAAGTCTAAATTCCATAAAGTATTTCTTATCTAATAGAGATTACAGGGAATATGGCACCAAAAGGGAGTTGGGGAGCGTTTGGGGAACATCTGTAACGGTCCCCGTTACAATTAGCACTAGTTGTTTTTGCTTCATGACAATGATCAATCGGTTTACTTGCGTGATAATTTCATGCATAAGCGCCTTCGGTGTTTATGCAAATTATCACGCAAGCCAATCGATTGATCACATCATGAAACCAAAAAATTAAACAGTTTTTCTCTTAAATCAAATATCGTACATCACTGGCCCCTGTGAATATCATATGACAATTAAGATCATGCAATGATGTTAAAATTTTTCATATTACCTTTAAACTAAATGTATTCAGGTGCTACTGAATATATAGTTGAAGATAAACAAACAGCTGTCATTCCAATAAAACCCCTTAACTTTCAACAGAACAAAAAAAGAGAAGATTCAAAATATATTTTCAAAATCACAATCATACACAATTTAGGTAACTTTACTTACATTTTCTCATTTTGTCTTTGAAGGAACTAAAGCCTTAAAATAAATGCACAATAATAAAAATTTTGCATGCTGCAAATAGCTTAGAAGGTGGGACTCGGGTACATGTATTTTGTTCATACTCCGGTCCTTCCTTTATCTTCATATTCAAATTATTTTTTTAATGTAAGCGTTAACAAAATTATGATAGACTGCAAGTTGTAAAAGTGCATGAAGGTTTCAGTTACATTTATATCCTTAAGACTATATATATATATGGGGGTAAAAATCGATGATTTAAAAATATCTTGCACCCCTTTACATAAAAAATCTTAAAACTAGGATTCAAAGAATGGGTGGACTTAACGCCGTATTTTGGATCTTTTTGCGACTCGAATAACAATCTGTAAATGAAGTGAATCCAAAATGAATTATGAGCAATGGAAAGAGCAACATATACTTCGTTATATTAGGTGGAACATTTGTGCAAAAACAATGCCCTGTTGTCGTGTATCAACATTGAAGCAACGATACACGAGTGTCGTCTTCCGGAATTCGACATGTACCCGGAGTGGTTTTTATGTCACACAATCAATATTTATAGGAGGCGGGGCTATCGATCGGTGTCATTGTTGACATCTCTCTCTCTCTATCCCTCTCTCTTTCCAAAAATTCGAATACGTGTTTAGCATATTACATCGATGTCAATATGAAATTATTTTAAAAAATGTGATGACACGCAAAATTAAAACAATATTTAATTTGCTTAACTCTGAAAACGGCAACAAAAAACGCTCAAAGACATGATTTAGATCGAGGTCAGGTTGAAGAATACAATGTAACTGTTTTCACGAGTACACTCGCAGGTGGACATCACGTGACGAATTGTAATATTTAACAGGTCAATCGAAGCCATTTCAATGGAAGCGAGAAGTTTGGTTTCAGCATGTTTTTTGTTAAATTAAGTATGAGCACACTTTTGTCGGCTCTTCTCCTTTTGATATAACATTATTTTGTTCAATATACAACTACAGTTTTCTTAAGAACAGCCGACAAACATGTGCTGACTACGTATTCAGACGATGTAAAACGCGTGACCCTGATTATCTATTGATATTCAAGAAATCTTCAGGCACCATGCTTTCGATATTTATTTAGTTTACCTCGAAAAAGTGTTTTAAATTCCCATCCGTACCATGAATACACAGTTAAGATATCGGAGAATTATTTGATGGAAAAAAATAAACATTTTATGAAACTTAAATTTACGGCATTTTTCCTGGCCAGTTAAGTCCACCCATTCTTTGTCAACTGTGTAATTTCATTGTCAAATACCGTATATACTCGCCTATAAGTCGGTATTTTGGGAGTTAAATATTGGTCTAAAACTCTATGTCCGACTTATAGGCGAGTCATGAAGAGATTGCTATTTTTCTGGAGGGTGAAATGTAGTTTCTTATGTGCATTTCCGATGATTATCGAAAGTGTCTGGATATATGATAATTTATGTATTCTTAGATTATATAGATAAAGTACAAGCATTTACATATTTAAATAATTGTATTTGTATTTTAAGTGAGCATTGCCTGTTTGTTTAATAATAAAAGATTAAATATCAGTGTCATTTCGAAAAATATGAATTGAAACTAGTTTAAAACAATAATGGATTAACTTGAAATCGTCACAAAATTTTGGAAAAAGTTTGCACCGACTTATAAGCGGGTCATTAGCAAATCCCTCAAAAATAACGTCAAAAAAAAACAAACCGACTTATAGGCGGACCGACTTATAGGCGAGTATATACGGTAAATCAATCCCATGAAAAACAGTCTTCTTAGATCCACGCCATATACACTCTGCATAGGAATCATAGAGTATATGGCGTGGATCTAAGAATACTGATCTTATAATAAACACTACACAAATCTTGATAAATCATGTTTGTGATATGACCCTTGATTAAATGGTCCTCTCCACAGAATACGAATGATGTGTGATAAACGGGTATTTTCAAGTTTTAATATGTTTTTGCTACATGTTTTTAGTTAAAGCAATATACATATTTTAACGCAAATTTTGAAGATAAGTCTACCTTAATAATAATAATAACTAGATGAGATATTGTTGCAAGCAACGAGTAGGTCTCCCATCCGATTTCTCGATGTGATGAGATCTGTTAGATACCGTATATCCCGGTCCTTCCGTTCGTCCATTAAATCTTATCATCTTTAAACTTCTTTTTTGTTGGACTAGATGGGGGTTAAAAATCGATATACATGTACTGTACTTCAGTATTCATAAAACAAAAATAAAACTAAGATTCAAATTTGACAGCTGTAAATTACTTTGTCAATTAAATCACGCGGGTTTGTTAAGGCAGCACATGTATCAGAATTCGGCGAATTAACACTTTTTTATGATTATGTAACACTAATAATTCGGGAAATTCAAGGATAAAACTTCTGCTATAATTATGCATTCTATAGGCTTCAGTGGGACTTATACTACAGGAAGCACTAACCCACGACATCACCACGTGACGTCTATAATTAGAAAATACGCCTTAATGAAAAAGTGAAAAATTCAACACCCCAGGGATATTTAATTTCAATCTGTAATAATCGTTATGTAAAACATCTCTGTACCACGAAAAGTGCTGTTAGAATCCTATTGTCCTATCACAGAAATAATTATTCAACACTTTAGGACGAAACCTTCCCAAAATTTTTACATTTTGTTTATAACATCGGAAAAAATGGATCAATTCCCGTAAATCATACGATTCTTGCAGCGCTTTCCAAAAAACAATAGAATAAGAACTTTAGATAGAAACAAAAATTAAGTTTCAAAGTATGCGGCGTAGCGTTGAACTTTTGCATCTTTTTTGTTAAGAACGACAGAGGGAAGACTGATCCGCAAGTAAACATCCCGCCTGCTTTAATTTTACGAAGAAATTGTAGAATTATGTAGCATACCTTATTCGTAAGTTTTATTCCCATATAAATCAAACATTATATTCATTCTAAATGCTTTTAAACTCCGATTTCTTGTGTTTGTTTACATGAATTCTCGTTACGTTTCACTTTCACTCTGCTACTGCATGATCAACAGTTATGACGTCACGGGTTTGGTATTTAACCCATGTGATAACTACAGGGACCCAGAAACCACGAAATTTCGTTTATATTATGCCTTTGCATATTTTGAATCATTTTTACAACCTCAAATCAATCTTAGATACCGATTTTAAGAAATTCTTATATCTAAACTTCATGCCATATGGCTTACTATGACGTCATATCATATAGACAAGTAGAATATTTGGTTGTAACCTTATTATACCTGCGCAATTCAATAAAAACCAGTCTTTCAGACTGCTCTTTAAGTAATCAAATATCATAATATTTAATTTATTTGATATAAAGTTTGTAACAATATCAATTTTATCTGTTTCTTAAGAAAAAATTAATCAATTTAAAATCAAATCAAGTATAGTATGATAGTCAAGTTCGAAATACAGTAGATTATCAATTTATTTGAAACAAAAAATGTTGTAATAAAATGAAAGTAGCCACAAGTATACATATATTGCATTCTACAATCTATACTGACACACTTTGACAAGTCCATCATAGTATCCCACCCACAGTGTAGAGTTGTACAGAGATAATCTGGCTGGGCCGTTCACTTCGTTTTCTGACAGCAAGAACTTCAGGAACTCCCCGCCAGGACTCAGTAGATGGATATTTTTGTTAGCTCTATCGCTAACAAGAATGTTACATTGTGAGTCACACACTACATCAGCAGGAATGAAGTTCCCTGTCAGGTTCTGTCCACGATAGACGGAATTCAAGTGACCAGAGGTAGACGTAATCACTAGTTCACCTGTAGTGGGACTTGTACAGTTCGCAACACATATATCACCATTTCTGTTCTGTATGACTCTTAGTGGTAATGTAAACAGTCTAGTCTGACCGTCCTCCTGGTACTCATACTCATGGATGACATCACCTGTCACTGTGATGTGTCTCACCAGACGTCTGCTGTGTGCCTCTAATTCATAATCACCTGATTCATCTATCAAGGTGAATAGTAGTCCACCGTCAACTGACTGACAGATTCCTCCTGGTTCCAGTGGATCTGTACTGATGACTGTAGATAAGATCCTGATGGTGACAGACAGCTGATGGTATTGTTATCAAGGTCAGTGAAATAAACATCACCAATGCCTGTCACACATAGGTCAAAACTGTTTATATCATATTTATGTCTTTTCTCGCCATCTTTGCTTACTTGGTCAGTATGAGGTGACTCGTGTTGTCTTACGTAACACAAATCTTCACACAAAGTCCTCAACACAAATATTCTTTGATCTTCATATTTAAATAAGCTTGTTTCAGTCAAGTTCATATCATCTAAGTTCAGAGTTTTCCCTATCACTTTCTCCAGTACCTTTTCATTGATTTCTCCGTGACTGTATTTCACTGAATGTTTAAATTTGTTGATGTCAACATCCAGATCGGAGAGAAGGTGTGTCAGTTCTCTGTGATTGACAAGCAAGCCGTAATCTGACATGGTACACTTGTTATCCTTGATGAACTGAACTGTCTCTGTAACTGACTTCTTCTTTTTTATTAATTCAGATTTCATACTTTTCAGCTTTTCATTTTTCCCCTTCAAATTGTCACTCAATCTATGTTCATTTCGTTTCTTCATTTCTGACACCCTGGTAATTATCTCATCGCAGTGCCTCTGAAGCTTTTTAATCTCGGTCTCACAAAGTTCCTCATTTTGTGTGATCTGTTTTGACATCTTCAATATCTTCTCATCAATCTTAGGCAGATCTTCCTCCTTGATCTTCCTCAGAAAGTTAAGTAAACCTCTCCTTCTTTCGCTGGCTGCCGTGGGTATAGTGCACCATTTGTGATCTCTATGGTCTGTTTTTGCACACTTACCACAAATAAATTCATCACAATCCTCACAAAACATATCAATAGCTAAATCATGGGTTTTACACATTTCAATAAGCTCTTGAGGAGAGCCCAGTGGGTGTTTTAGTTTACTGGCCGCCATATTTTGTTTTTGAGTGTCGATTATCTTTAAAGCTGAACACGATTCGTAAAAGAAATGTATCCGCCATTTTAGTTCCCGAGACTCGCTACCCTGCAGACCCATATAAATAGGGCAAGAATTAGAGACTGTTCAGTTTAATCAGTCGACACCGGTGTAGACGGACGTATGCCATACAGGACTTGATAGCGAAAATAATAACGTAATACTTTGTCTAATGCAGGAAAGTAAGATACCAAATAAATTTACAATGATAGCTGCATAAGTCAGAGCAGTATACAAACAACATAGATAAACGTAACTGCAATAAAATATGAACAAATGTAATGCAAGATAACCAGCACGAACACGGGTCGCCATTCCACGCCGATACCTGTGACAATAAAGCAGTCAGGTGTAACGAAAGCGACGAGTATACCCTAGTACGGATGTATCGTAGATAATGCTATCAGAAATGGTGTATGCCTATTTACGAGTCGTGTTCAGCTTTAACCTAGATCTATGCAGGGCTTGGGGTAAAAAGCTGAGTGGAGTGGAGTGGAGTCTTCTGGAGTCGTGGAGTGGAGTCTGTAGTATAACAGTACAGAAAGGTTGAGAGCAAAACAATTTCCTTTTCATACAATCTCTCCCCTACATTGTCATTTTGAATCTGTGTACTTTCAAAGTGAGTCTTTCAAAGTTTGATTCCAGGATCAATTACTAGTATAAAACATAAAAAAGGAAAATAATTCTCGAAATGTTTGCTAAATAATTTGTGTCGTTTTCCGATTTTTAGGAACAAATTTTAATGATGTAATAATCATTTTAAAGTTATAACCTATGTTTTTTGAAGAGGGAGATGTGTCACTACATTCGTATAATAAGTTTTGTCATAATGATATATAATAATAAATTATAATAAGAGTCGAAAAGTAATTATAAGGATCTTATTCATACATGGTGGGTTCGAATCGAACTGTGGGGCGTACAGACTGGTCTTTCGGATGAGACCGTATAAACCGAGGTCCCGTGTCACAGCAGGTGCTGGCACAGAAAAGATACCTCACTTGTCAACGGTCGAGTATAGTGCCGAGTATATCACAAAATTCCAGCTCTCCATCGGCAAGTGGTGGCTTCTCCATATGAGTGAAAAATTCTCGAGAGGAACGTTAAACAACGTACAATCAACGAAGCATATACACATGTAATTAGTTTCACCAATATTTGATACTTATTTTGTAAATGTGACTCAGAACAAAAATTATACACATGATAAGTAATAAAAAAAAAATTGCATTCCTTCTACTTTGCTGATCAATGTATAACATGCATGCAGTCTATCAACAAGTATATATGTATCATTGAGGCAGCTAAATATTATAAACAATGATGAAGAATCTCTGTTCTTTTGTGAAACAGATCGAACCAAGATGTCTTGTAAGCTTTATTTCTGTCCTATTTTGAAGAATGTCAATGACAATTTATCCATCAAAGATTTCAATTATCTAATCATGAAGATGTGTTGCAAACTATTTTTTTTTTAAATTTCTTATTATATATTATTCTCTCATACTGGAGTTGGAGGGGCGGGTATATTAACACATTTGTTTTTGTAAGTTTATGTGCCTTTGGTGTGTTTAGTATGTTTGTCTTTGTGCAAAACTAGTGGCATCATTTGCATCGGGTTGATGTTGAATATTGTTTTGATTTATAGATCTGTTCATAGCGAATGGATACTCCGCTTTCAGGTGCCTTTGTCAATTTGTTTTTATCAAAGCCCATGTTTGTTGTTGAAAGTAAACCAAGTAGGTACATAAAATATGAGTAAGGGCAAATAGTCTAGCTTAGATTAGATGTTGTTAATATATAACCTAGTAAAACATTTCTAAGTGATTCTCTGTGTGACGTTTAAATGTAATTAGTTTTTGACTGCATATATTTCTTTCGTATCTTGTTTCATTCTTGGTACTGAAAAGTAAAATGACAATGCAGGGGAGAGTTTGTATGCAAAAGATATTTTGTTCTCAAACTTTATGTATTGTTATGATACAGATTACATTCCATGACTACACATAAGACTCCACTCCACTCCACTCAGCTTTTTACCCTAAGCCGATTAGGCAGCGAGTGAACTGCTTTGTATTTATATGTATAATAACTTTAAAAAAGTATAAATGTGTCCTTAAATATTTAGCTTATAAAAGTGAGTTTAACAAACAGTAATCAATTCCATAAATCCTTAAAGAATTTGAATTGTGAACAGGGCATAAATCAAAAGATTCGATCTTCAAAAATAACATTATCATGCAAAAATCTCATGTAATGTTTATATAAAGAACAAGGTGCACTTAAGGTGCCCTATTAATTCTCAAACAGTTAAACGGCTATGTCGACAATTACATGAAACATCTTTCAGACCCTTTGTGGTCTCTTTTTAAATATTTAAAAATTCAATTTAAGAACTTGTAGTTTCAGAGGGCCCATTTACCAATATTTGTGCTGATTTTTTAAAAAAAAGAAATGAAAGCAATTATTATTTCCAGTATCTTCATTACCTGGAAAAACTTAAAGTTTCTCTTTTACTTGACTAGATTACTCGGTATTATTATGTCAATCATTATCTACATGTGTATAATATGATTTCATAAATCTGACATCATATGTAGGGAAGTTCTGTATATTCTGATCAATTAATAGACTAACAATCAGTATGGAAACTTCAGTCAACATTTGACTGAATGATAAATTGTATTTGCTAATAAGGTCATTGTATCGATCATAGAACTTACGAAATTATGACTTTAAACGAGACTGCTAATATTCTTGTTTCAACAACTTTGTCAGTAATTTACCTCGTTTTTGAAATTGTTCATACGTGTTCATACATGCTCTTGCTTTTTGAATTAACTGAGATACATAAACTCCATATGCAGATGATGAAGGTATATGAGTACAATCCACTAATTGTTTTCTCATAGGCGACAATGTTAACTTTTCTTCTCATAGCGACGTCCCTAATTTTCGTTCATCAGTGAGTGACCCCTCAAATCAAAGCACATCAAGTTGTCTTTCATTGGTTAAAATCTCGAGGTGGGATGTCAGATTCGTTTTCCGGCAAAATGCGTCTGTTTGCGGGAAACTCTAAAAGTGAAAGTGAAAGTAGAGGAAATTCAGAGTTCTCACTGGCATTATAATACAAAAAATAATTCGGCTGATCTTCTTGATAAATTACATTTGCCAAGCTTTTTCGAGATAAAGATTCTCATTATAAACAAGTGTGAGGCTCAGCTAAGTATATCTGCACAATTTTTTTATGCAAGTCTGCAAGTTAAGGAACTTGTTATTTTTTTCGACATTACTTTCCTCTCCTACCGATTCTAAAAATAATTAGTGGGATGTACCCATATTGCTGCATAAGTAAGGGAAGTTGACGATAGAATAGTTAAAGTCATCACGTTTATCATAGAGCTTGGTTGTTAGATTACCATTAATGTACTTTTCAAGTAAAATATCCTAATATGAAACAAATGTGTCAGACTCTGTGGTATCTTTTATCTCAAGCTCACTGGGATATATCGTATCGACATAGGAATGGAAATTATAATTGTTAATTGACAATACGTCATCTATATATCTAAATGTCAAGTTAAATGTCGAGTTGAAATCCACGGCAAGTGTTTTTCTTCTTTTCAAACATAAGATTTTGCATAAATTCTGCTTCATACAAAAATAGGTCTGCTAGTAAGTAGTAACAGGGCACAATTCGTATCCATGGGAATTTCAATAGATTGTTGAAAGACCTGGTCTCCAAAAACAACAAAGATCTTACGATCTGATTCATTGTCTCTCGATGTGACAGGCGGTCCACTGTCCACTGACTGACAGATTCATCTTGGTGACAGTGGATCTGTACTACTGACTGTAGAGACAGATCCTGATGGTGACGACAGCTGATGAATTTTGTAACGAAAGTCAGTGAAATAAATTATGTTATATATTATGTTAAATTAAATTATATTTATGTTTTTTTATGTATTTTTAAGTTGACTCGAGTTGTCTTACACTGTTCTTCACACAATACTCTCAACAAATATATATTTGTTGATCTCCATATTTACATCAGCCTGTTTCAATCAAACGGACATATCAAAATCCAGAGTTCCAAATCACTTTCTCTAGTAACTCATCTATGATTTCTCCTTGACTGAATCTCACTGAATCTTCAAAGTCGGTGACATCATTTTACAGAAGTTGTGTTAGTTATCTGTTGTCGTCAAGCAAACCGTAATATGACATGGTACTCTTTTTATCCTCCATGAACTGAACTGTCTCTGCAATCGTTTTCTTCTTTTTAATTAACTGAAATTTCTTAATATTTAGTTTTTTCAATTTTTGCTTCAAATTTTCTCTCAATCTTTGTTTACTGAGTATTTCGTTTCTTCATATTTCTGATACATTAAATATTATCTCATCATAATCACTGGCGGATTTAGAGGGGGCCCAGGGGGGCCGCCCCCTCCCTTTGAGCCCCCACAATGTATGATATACAGGGTGTTTCAACAAACACGTCCCAGTTTTTGATGTCTATATTTTTGCACAATAATTACATATTTTCAAAATTATAGCTGTATTTTAAAGCCCATTTTTTTGCATTATAATTGTGATATAAACAATGTAAAATAAAGTCAGTGAATTTTTTTCATTTAAGTTTTGATTACATTGTCATAAATTAGTTTGTGAGGTTTTTCTCTTCATAAATGGATCTATGGATGTTTAACAAAACAATACAAACAGAAAATCTCCAAAATCATCAATATTAGTGGACCAATTTTTTTAAAAGTACTCATCTTTCTAAGAAACATACTTTTCATTCAAAATGTCCAAATATTTGCCATTAAGGTCTTCAGAGGTAAAATGAGGATGCTGACTGACAATAGTGTGACTTTTTAAAACACGTAAAAATGACGTGAAATTGAAAAAAGCTGCCGATGTTCAAATCTTAAAAATGCCTGTCTTAAAAAATAATTGATTCAGAGTTACTTTAACTTTTATATATATAATATTATTTGGTTCTGTAGTTTTCGATTTTACAAAAAAAATCTTTCATTAATACTGTCTAACTTTATATTGAATCCGCAAAGTCGGGACATGTTTGCTGACACACCCTGTATCAATGTTTTTTGCATGGTGTGGCTGTTGGCTCTAGCTACCCTGACCTCAAACTAGTTGGGCCTCCCCTTTTAAAAATTTCTGGACCCGCCACTGATAATGAAGCTTTGAAGCTTTTCAATTTTGTCTTACAATTTTTTTTTAAATTTTTGTGATTAGTTTTGACATCTTCTCTAGTTATTCGTTCATCCCATGCAGACCATTTTTCTTAATCTTTCTAAAGAAAGTTTAGTATAGACATCTCCTCCTTTCGAGGACGGTCGTTGGTATAGTTCTCCATTCCTTTTTCTTAATTTGTTTTAGATCATATACCACAAATAAATTCATCAAAGTCCTCACATGTAACACCAATAGGTAAATCGTGGGTCGTACCCATTCCAATATGCTCTTGAGGAGAGCCCATTGAATATTGCAGTTTACCGTAAGTCATTTTTATCAAATTTCGACTATTGATTATTCTTAATGGTTGTGAGATAGTTATTGATCGTCCCATTATTAGACAGACAAAATTCTCAGGAAATGTGGTCATTACTTTATATAATCTTATGAAGAAATACACTATCTCCCGTAATTTTGCAAAAATAAAGTTCTCGCGAAAAGAGAGTGATTTACTAGCTGCATCTATAATCTAGATTAAGTAGCCGATGAAGAGCATTGTACAGTGTAATATTCGCAAAGGGAAATTAAACAAACAAACGAACCTTTAAACAATTTGTATTCATGTGCTCTCAGTAGTCAGGCGCGTAGCTAGGCGTACGTTTGTACGCACAAACGTCCACATCATTTTTCAAAAAAAAAAAAAAAAAAAAGAAAGTAAAGAAAGAAAGAGAGAGAGAGAGAGAGAGAGAGAGAGAGAGAGACAGGCGTAATATTGTAAAGCATTCTCATCATTTTTTCAAAATATTAGAAAATAATTTTTTTTTAAATAAAAAAAAAATACTTAGAGACAATTTAGAATTAACGATAAAAAAAAATTAATGAAAATCAACAGAGTCAGATTTAGGGGAAAATACGAGATTATACATCTCACTGAAATCCAAAGATTTTCCCAGATTTTGCCAGGTTTACTATCGAATATTGCTGAGTTTATTTTTTTTTCCAAGTGTAATTACATTCTTAAAGAGTTTCTCTATTGTAGATTTCAGACTATAAAACCCCAGTCGGCTCTCCTAAAACAAACGATATCATAATTTTATTTAATGCCAAAATTTTCAATTTCTATTACTTGAAACTAAATTCCAACCATAATGCTTAACTTCTTAATGATACCCCCCCCCCTTCCAAAAAACCCCCTAATATCGGATTCGTGTGAGACTTTAAAAATCATAATTAAGCTTTACATATGAACATCAAAAATCGAAAAATGGAACAATTCAGTTTCATCTTAAAAAAAAAAATAATAAGACCTCTCAAGTATTGACATCCGTAACACTACCTTAAAAGCATTAAGTATATTTTACAAGTTTTTATTATGTTTCAAAAAGTTAAAGATACCAGATTTGTGAATATTTATGAACATTATTTCATTTTAAAATGTATACAATGTACATAGGTAATGTGCAAGAAAATGAGTTGAAAAGAATTCTGTCTTTGTTATTTTCAATCTTTAGAGGTGAATTTATAATATTAATGTAAGCCTGACTATCAGTAAATTACGCGGTCGTCTAAACCAGTCAACCACTCTAACCAACTGCCGTATGTTAACCATACATATTTTGTCGAGCTGCTTCAAAAGTCAAATTGTTTTCGTTGGTTCGTCAAAGAAAGCTATTAGACATATCCTTTCTCTTTTATAAGTGACTGTCCGCATTTTGTACAAAGAAATAACAGACCCCAAAGTGCCTGCGTAACAAACTGAAAAAAAGTTTAAGAAAAATGCTATCAAAAGGTTCAAATATGCACATCAAAATCGTCGGAAATGCACCAGCTTCCGGGGGCTTCACCCTGGACCTATTTGGGGCCTTAAGGCGGCCCCCAAACCCCCGCCTATTCAGGCGTCCACATCAAAAGTACCCTGGCTACGCCCCTGGTAGTTAGAATGATAAAGTTGAAGATAACCAGCAGTGATCGGTCCCCTTAACCCTTTAAAGGATACAAATTGTGAACAGGGTATGAAACAGGTGATTCAAAATGTATCTTTTAAATTAACAATCAAACACAATGTTATGTAACGTTTGCATTTTGTCTTTGGAAAAAAAAACCTACAGACTGTTCATAAATGCTCAAATAAAAAATTGTGCATGCTACAAATGTAGCAAAAAAGTTTGACCTGGTACATGTATTTTGTTGATACCCTGGTTCCTCGAAATCCTTTTAGAGACTAAATGGAGGTTAATATAATTTTTTTTTTAAATCCCCTTTTTTTATTCATAAAACAAAAATAAAACTAAGATACAATTTGACATCTTTAAAATTTCTTTGCCAATAAAATCAATTCAATAAAAAATCAATCTTTTAAACTGCTCTTCAAGTAATCTAACATCATTATATTAACTTATTTAAAAGTTATTTTTTTTTATCTGTTTCTTAACATTAAATTAACTTTGATTTAACTTATATCAATAGCACACGAAAAGAAAAAAATCACGCATACTGTCGTTTGAAATACAGAAAATTAATAATTGGTTTGAAACAGAAACTGTTTTAATATAATGACAATAATTTCAATCAAACTTCAAGTATACAGGTATATTACATGTACAATTTAAACCCTGTATTGAAACACCTTGACAAGTCCACCGTAGTATCCGACCCACAGTGTAGACTTGTACAGTGATAATCTGATTGGGCAGTTCACTTCATTCTCTGTCAGGATGAACTTCAGGAACTCCCCGTCAGGACTCAGCAGATGGATATTTTTACTAGCTCTGTCAGTAACAAGGATGTTACAGAGTGAGTCACACACTACACTGGTTGGATAAAAGTTCTCTGTCAGGTTCTGTCCACGGAAGACAGACTTCATACGACCAGAAGTAGATAAAATCACTAGTTCACCTGTAGCGCCTTTTGTTAAGTTCACAACACAGATATCACTGTTACTGTTTTGTGAGACTCTGTATGGCGATGTAAACAGCCTGGTGTGACCGTCCTCCTGGTACTCATACTCATGGATGACATCACCTGTCACTGTGATGTGTCTCACCAGACGTCTGCTGTGTGACTCTAATTTGTAAGGATCTGATTCATTGTCTTTTAAGGTGACAAGTAGTCCACCGTCCACTGACAGACAGATTCCTAATGGTACCAGTGGATCTGTACTGATGACTGTAGAGACAGATCCTGATGGTGATAAGCAACCGATGGTATTGTCATTAAAGTCCGTGAAATAAACACCACCAGTATCTGTCACACATAGGTCAAAACCTTTTATATTATGTTTTTGTATTTTCTCACCTATTTTGTTTACTTGTTCAGTATAAGGTGACTTATGTTGTCGTACGTAACATAAATCTTCACACAATGCCCTCACCACAAATATTGGTTGATCTCCAATTTTGAATGAGCTTGTTTCAGTCACGTTGATATCATTTAAATCCAGAGTTTTCCCCATCATTTTCTCCAGTACCTTACCCTGGATTTCTCCTTTATTGTATCTAACTGAATGTTTACAGCCCTTCATATCAACATCCAGACCAGTTAGCATTTTCATCAGTTCTCTGTGGTTGTCAATGAAGCCGTAATCTGACATTTTGCTGTTGTTATCCTTCATGAACTGAACTGTCTCTGCAAGTGTTTTCTTCTTATTGTCTAACTCAGATTTTACATTATTCAGCTTATCATTATTATCCTTCAAATTGTCTCTCAAACTTTGCTCATTTCTTTTCTTGATTTCTGCTAACCTGGCCACTATCTTATCAACATGCTGATAAAGCTTTTTAATCTCAGTGTCACAAAGGTCTGTATTTTTTGTGATTTGTTGTGACAATTTCTCGATCTTCTCGTCAATCCCAGGCATATCCTCTTCCTTGATCTTTTTAAGAAAGTTAAATAGACCTCTTCTTCTTTGTGTGGCTGCTGTTGGTATAGTGCTCCATTCATGATCCTTGTGATCTGTTTTGGCACACTTTCCACAAATAAATTCATCGCAATCCTCACATAACATATCAATAGGTAAATCATGGAATCCACACATTTCAATATGCTCTTGAGGAGAGCCAAGTGGATATTTTGGTTTACTGGCCGCCATGTTTTGCTGAATGTCGACTATCTATAACCTAGATTACGTAGCTCGTGATGTGCTGTGTCCTACCCGGTATTTAAACTGATATCAAGTGACAAAAACATGCAATGCTGCGACACACTTTTAAAATACATTTTAAAATGCATTTACGTGTCCCTGAATATTTAACCTATAAGAGTAAAAATAACGAACAGCAATCCGTCTCACAATCCCTTTAAAGAATTCAAATTGTGTACAGGGTATAAATCAGATTATATCTTTAAAAATAACAATTATGCAAAATTCATGGAAGGTGCACATAAATTATTTTTTTGTCTTTGAAAAACCAAAGCCATGCTATATAAATACCCAGTGATGAAATTTTGCACACTACAAATGTAGCAAAGTTTGACCACGTACGTGTATTGTGTTACCCCTGTCCTTCAGTTTGTCCGTCAAAAATCTTCATCTTCAAACCCTTTTACTGAAATATGAAAGAGAGTAACTTGTAAAATTATATTAAGGTTTCTAAGAGGTTAGATTTTATAATAAACGCTACAAAAGTATTGACAAAAGTAAGGACAAAATCCTTATTACTTTCTGTTATCTAGACCGGTTTTTGGTTGTTTTTTTAAAAAAAAATGAAACACTAAAAATGTAAATTAGGCAAACTAAGTATGTTTTCCTAAAGGATTACATTGGCGTCGGAAGCAAATTGAAAGGGGGGGGGGGCTAACTGTAAAAAAAAAATTGTACCTTAAAAAAAACCGGACAAGCAAACAAACAAAAAAAAAAAAGGAAAATGGGGGGTTGGTTCGAACTTTAGTACCAAATTTTTTTTTTCCAAACACCACCACTTTCCCCATTTTTAACCTATACTAAGACGTATCTGTGGAAAGTGGGGTTGGGGGGGGGGGGCTAATCCTACGAAGATATGTTCAATGTCTATATTAAGTATGTATTTGGAAAAAAAAAATGGGGGGTTCCGACGCCTATGGATTATATAAGAAAAGCCAACCTCTGGTATCTCGCACAAATGGCTGGTGAGGTGTCTCAATGTATTGTGAGTAAACATATTAAAGTAGAAATTCTTCAATCACAAAATATAAGAAATATTATACATTATTGAGGAACGTCTCGTCTGTCCTTAAATTGACTTCCTGGAAGAAAACGAATGTTGAGTCATTCAAGTTTATTTTTTAGGTATAATAGTTTTTGATCCATGCAAGTTTTTGACCCAGAATTATTTTTACGCTAATTTTAATCTTCTTTAGATTTTTTTTTTTTTACAAATCATCTTACATAAAATATACTTTTATGATAGATAAAGTTTCAAAGATTGATTTAAAAAAAAATAATAATACAAACACACATACCAAAGAGGACTAAAAGAGGGCTAAAAGGGTCATTTCTCTCATATTATAATACTAGTATATTATTCCACACGAATGGGTCTTCGCTCCATCCTTTTTTTTTTTTTTTAAAAAGCTTATCTTCAAAATTAGCCCTTTAGTACCAGTCATGTAAGGCAAGTTTTCTCTCTGTTAAGCGTCCACTCATCTTTCAAATATTCTACCTACCTATTCGCAAAAAAGCACACATATAGCATATTTGTCAAATCTTTATTTTCTGTGATTTGTTTTGATATCTTCTCTATCTTCTTATCAATCCCAGGCAGATCCTCATTCGTAATCTTCGTCAAAAAATTAAGCAGATCTCTCCTCATTTGCTGGCTGATTATTAAAGATATTACAAAAATGATCAAATTTTAAAACTAAAATGGTATTGCAGTTTTCTTTACCAAATGATAGTCGACAGGTATGATATCATACCTTAAATATTATACAGTTATTGACTGGGTATGAGGGCAACATATGATTTGTTGGACCTGAAGGTGAAAATGTTGCCCGAGGCCGCAGGATATTTATAAGGGTATAACAATAAGTTATAACTGACGGTTATTAGTAATTTGTTGACATCCTCCTCCTAGCCTCCTTAAGAAGTTCATCATTCCTTTTTTTTCCTCATAAAAATATCTTTAATAATAATAAATTTCATAAATAATTTATTGTTAAAAACAGAAATACCAAAAATATACATGTCAATTTACTAAGGAATGATAGACATTTATTCCAGTTGGAGTAACTCCCCTTCAAAGGGTCGAAGAACCTTAATAAGTTTCAACTAAGTATATTAATTTTTACTGCGTATTCCGAAGTTAATTCCATTTGTTGAAATTGTGAAAATGGGAGCTAAGTGGGTGGCTGGCAAAAGGGTACCTTATTTGTAAGGGTAACCCCTCCTACAATTTTCAAGAAAGGAACTTTTATGTTTTGCAGATAAATTGTATCTATCAGGCCTCTGAATTTAAAAATTAAATCACCGACTGGATCCTATAAATCATACTTCAAAAAAAATTTTAAATGAAATATTTAGTCGTCAAATTTTAAGGCGCGACTATATTAGTAATATACAAGAAATTTCGCGAAATCGAGGGGACATTAAATCTCAGTCTGTTGGCCTGTCCCTCTGTCACAAAAACTTGAACTTGAACCTTGCTCATAACTTTTGAACGAGTAGAAATATGCTTTCATATGTAAATTACCTTCCAAATTTAATTTAATTTTTGATTCCCTGACATATAAACCATAAAGTTTGACCTACTTTCAAAAATGTTATCTTTTTACATAACTTTTAAAAGATTGAACTTTCATATTTGATATGTGCAAATACCTGTGACAAGATATTTCCGAACATGCTGATTATTTTTACATCTTAACTTTGACTTCATGTTTAACCCAATTTTCAAAAATTTTAATTTAGGGATAACCTTTGGATGACATATAATATCACCGTATACAACGGGTAACGCGGGGGAGTCGCTAAAAAGTAAGGGGGAGTCGTTTTCAACGTATGGCGGAGTCGATTTTCACCGCTTCGGAGTCAGAAGAGATGTGGGTCACGTCTTTTTTCGATGTATGTAAGATGTATTTTCAAAAAACAACTTGCCCACGGAAGGTAGCTATAGTTAAGCTTTCCGTTGGTCATTTTCCCGGCTAGCATATACGTCTAGTTTTCTCAAACACTTCGAAACTATTCGACATATTTCATATTTACGTTGATCGAGTGGTTAAAACATGCATAGTTTGCACAATCTACGACTTGTGTAGGGATTATGACAGTTAAAACGGCAACGGTGAATATGGCCTTTATATTTAATTGACATAATATGCCATAAATAATGGCATCCCATCCACCAAAACATCGAAAGATTAAGCGGGGAACTACAATTCTTTGAATTAGTTGTTGATCGCTTCTTTATAAGAAACTTCGATGAAATACTGGTATTCTTTAAAACTAAAATATTATTAAGCATTATCTACAATTAAGTTGAACATTTTTATGGTGATTTGATTTTTTTTCTGAAAATACCATTTTTGAGAACTTTGCCATTTTTTTTAAAACAAACTATTGCATTAAGGGTACCTCTTTTGTATAGATAACCCCCTGCAGTTTTCAAGATGGGAACTTTTTATGCACCACCTTCCCAAACGAACTTAAGGGCTCATATCACATTGTTCACCTATATCTACAATCTTTTTTTGACTTTTACTTGACGGAAAAACTCTGAAAGTTCATACTTGGTACAGAGATTGCTTAAGACTCAAGGATTTGTCATGATCTTGATCCAATTTCATACCAACAAAGTCAAAGTCACTGGCTTAAAAAGTATACATTTTTATCTTTATGCTATAACGCTGATTTTGTTATGGAGACTCGATCGCTGTAACATACTTGTTACTGAGATTACTTATAACCTGATGGGCTTTCATGACCCTGACTCGAGTCACTCCAGAATATTGCTTACGATCCAAGGGTCTGTACGTTATAACCTTGACCCAAGTCATTCCAGAATGTTCAAAGTAACTGGTAGAAAAAGTATAAAATTCTTGTCTGGGCTACATGTCATCGGAATCAGTGAAACTTCGCCCTTAGTACAAAAGATTGCTCGATCATGCATGTCCTTAATTCAAGTTTAAAGTGATTGTGTTAAACTGTAGAATGACTTACAGACCAAATTATTCACCTCTGGCCCAAACCAGGCCACTGATATCATGTTGTCATCAATGTATAATTATATATTTACATAATCTGAACATTTTTTCCTTTATTGTTCCTGACGCTTTTCCAAAAGCAAGGGGACATTTAATCTTGGCCATCTGTCACACAAACTTGAACGCTTTGTCATAACTTTTGAATGAGAAGAGATAGGGTTTTCATGTTTCACATGAATATTACCTGTGACAAGACCTTTCCCAATATGCCATGATTTTTGACCCCGGGATCTACCAAGATGACTTTAAATTTGACCTACTTTTTCCAAAAATTAACATTTCCCGATGGTACTTAACTTCTGAAAGAGAAAAAAACCATGCACAGCTCAGAAATCTGTAGAGGAATTCCCCCAAAATGACTTATAGACGTGTATATAAGGTATTTTGAATTGCTCACAACTTTTGGAAGAGAAAAGATACGGCTTTCAAATTACACGTTTATTACTGGTGACAAAGCTTTTCTAAATATCTTAAATGGCTTTTTACCCTATGACCTTAAAGTTTGACCTACTTTTCAAATGTGATTTCCAAATAATTTTTTATTGAGAAGAGAGAAGGCTTTCATATTTGAACATTTACTGTAACAAGATCTTTCTGAGCATGCTCTAATGTTTGACCCCTTGACCTTAATGTTAGACCTAATTTTTTTTAATAAATTAACTTTGGTGATAATTTTTGAATGATCGACATATGACAGGGCATTCATATTTGACATTCCATCCTTTAAGGCTCAGAAAAGAGGTCTGGAGACCACAATTCAAGTGAAAGCACATTCTGCTCAGGGTAGAAATAATTACTGAATGGCACAATGTCTTTTAATAACAAATTCAACCATTCGTTACCATTTGATAACAAAGAAAACAGTAAAATACACTACATAGTAAATAAAGAATATCTATATGGTGGTTCAAAGCACATACTGCTTTAAAGAAAGAACAACTGTAAAATGATGTACTGAGATCAACACAGATGCATGTACAAAGGGTTATACTTGTTTAATCTGGATGACACTGATTCTAAAGAAATTGACTTGATTAGAAAACATCCTGGATTAGACAACATTTAAATATGTAAAAATTAAAACATATTCAACAACATTTCAGATTAAACAATAGCTGGATTAGACAAGTTTCACTGTACATGTACTTTTTCATTAAATGTAAATTAGCACTATTTTTTTTTTTACAAAAAAAGATTCAAATTCATGTAAATTAGTAGCTCCAATCTCTCTCTCTCTTGCTCTCTCTCTCTCTCAAACAAAACAAAATAACAAAAAACAAGATTATACACAGTTAATAGAATCGTCATTATTATTGTCACTTAAATACACAGTTAATAGAACCATCGTTATTGTCACAAAGTCGCTTTGTCCAGAAGAAAACTGTGTCCCCAGCACAACTTCATTAGTAATGAAAACAGAAATTTGTAAGTTGTCCCAAAAGAAAAAATCAGACATAGACAACTTGATTCTACATTATAATTTTAGTCCCCGGGTTTATTAATAAACAAACGATCCTCTTCACAACATTTGTAAATGAAAGCAGGAATTCGTTGTGTCTATTAGGTTTACAGGGGTCTGTGGAGGGCGGTGGTGTGGGTCGGGGGGTGGTGATGACCATAGGGGTGGTGGTTTGTTGGACTGGATTGGTGAGTAGGAACGCTGAAAATCAGAGAATTAAATACTTAGTCCAAAGAAACATTATCATGAGAATTTGGATCGTGCATCAAATTTACTTTTAATAAGAGAACAATCTACAAAACTGATTATTTAATAATGAAGTTTAAAAAGATTTAACAAGCTTTCAATTAATTAAAATTGTCACGCAATTCAGCAATATTATGTGATGTCCACACAGCACTTCTACAAACTACAGACACAGATGCACAACTATTTTCATTTTAAACAGTCACCAACAATTCACAAGACAAGCAGTTCTATATTCACCTGAAAAATCCACATAAGTTCCTGGGAAGAGTTCTAGCCCACTAGCAGCAGGAGTAGTAGTACCTAAAATGTTATATTCAGTGTATTTATCTAAAATAAATCTTCACATTTTGTATACAACAAATGTGATACAACATGAGAACAAATTAAGTCTGTAGGACATAACTATGACTGTAAAACCCTGTCTTTTCTACACAAGCTAAATTAGCTTTGTTCTTCACTGCATGGCATCTTTTCAAATTCATATATACCTGGTACTTATTCAGGTATCCAATATGTTTGTGCAAATTTCAATCTTCTCCTATTTAATATATTTCTTTAATAGTCTCCCTGCTGGAAAGAGTGGGCTGCTTTACTGAAGATGATTTGTTGTTGCCTCCCTATGCTGAACTCGAGGCACAACAATGGCAACAACATTCAACGAAAACAAACACCGCTTTACATAGTGTATACGCTGACTGGCATTCATTAAAAGCTGTCTCAATCGGGATGGAAATATATTGGACTCTATTTTGAATCACGATCACTCACAAAAGAAATGTCCACAAGATACAATGAACAGCAAGGTCATACAAGTAAAGAGGTGCTGTCAGCTCTATCAACTACAAGTAATGATATTGAAGGAGGGGGGGGGGGGGTTTACAAGAAACATGCATTTGGGATTCCTCTTCCTCAAATCTGATTAGATGGTTTTTCTTATAGGACTTTTTTTTAATAATTTTATATGATGTAGTATAATGTATGGTGCGGTGTGAAAATCTTGCTATATTATTTTTGTTAAAGACTTCTTCATGGCACGGTTCTTTACTTTAATCCTGATGGGAAGCTCTAATAGTTAACAGTTCATATTGGAAGAAGAGAGATGTTTTGAATTACTTACAGTAAAACTTGTTTAGTACAAACATGGATATTGTGAATTCACTGATATAGTGAAGTTATCTTGGATCCCCAGCTATAAAAAAATTAACCAATTCTTTATACAATATATAATGAATTAGGGTTTATAGTAGTTTCATAGGTCCAAGTGACTTTGTTATATCTGAGTTTTACTGTATTTGAAAGTTATAGTGTGGTTGTAAAAGCATCGTCGGAAACCCATGGTTAATTACACTTCTTTCCTCTCCATCATCATGATGGAGAGAGGAACGAAGCGTAATCAGCCGTGGGTTTCCGACGATGTTGTAAAAGTTGAAAATTTGTACACATTTTAGTTATTCTCACTAATTATATGTAATACAGTTGAAGTTTATAATTAATAATTAATTCATAGTTAAGAATAACTTGACAATGCAACATGGTTACAACATTTTTATGTATTACTAAAATTTACAATTGTTTGATGAAATATTTCAATTTATTAGAGACAAAGTACAATGTTTCTTTACTTTCTTAAATTATGATTCCCTTATATTGAGTTTCAATTTCTTTTATAATATTAGAACTTGAAGACATGGCATATGATTAAAACAATTCAAGTTTTTTAAAGTTGATAACAAGTCAAAGAACTCAATCATGAATGAAATGAAAAAAGCTAAATTAATGATTTTATATGATTTACATCATATCCTTCCTCATGGTACAATGTTATAATATCATTCCTTGGCTTTTCAATTCAAAGGAACATTCTATCATAAACTAAAAATGAAAATGGACTGGGCAATAAGCACTGTCTTTAAAATTCCTGTCTCTTGGCTAAATACAGTTAGAATCAACGACACAGTCTCCATCGGCCACACTGAATGAGTACCCACTGGTACACTGTAACTCCATACCCTGGCTGCCCAAACACACGTAAAATTTACCACAATCCCCGGGGTCTCCGTAAAATTTCTCATAGTATGATGTGACCCCGTCACACATCTCTGTAAAAGTGGAACAAAAAAATCAGATCCATGGTAACTGGCTGGAGAATATGTGAGCCAGATACCCAGAATACTTTAGGCTTTGGAAAAAGCTGGTATAGTGGCTAATTACAGGGGTGTAGAAAGCTGTGTTGACAACTGGCATCTGAAGCAGGAATGGTAGTTAATCATCAAGGTTTAAAAAGCTGGTACAATGGTAATCATGATTTGGACATTTTAGTAAGCTGGAATACTTGCACAATGGTACACCATGGTCAATGTAATAAATAGTATTTATAAAGCTTTGGGATTGCTCACCTATATTCAGTGCTTGTAAAATGATAATCTGTGCATTTTTATTAGTAGAAGGTATTAGATTAAAAGCAAATCAAAGATTATAGTTTAAAATTCAATTTCGAACACTCTAGAATATATATTAAATCAGGATTCTTCATGTACATGTATATTGTATATTATAATAACTTCTTTAATCTTGAAAAATCTTTAAGTTTTGCACTGATGTTTCTGTAAGTGAATACTGTCAGTGTGAAAATATAAAATTTAACTCTTGAACATGTATACTATAATTCGATTCCAGAGTTAAAAATATCATCAATTCTTGAACCTTGAATTTCTATACAACCAACTCAAAGTTTGCATAGAGAAGAGTAAATCCACACAATTTTATAACATCTATTGAAAAGAAACTTGTCAGCAATTATTTCATAATCTTTTTATTTTTAATCTCAATTCAACATTATACAGTGTCATCAAATCCTCTGAAACGTAACACATCAGTCATTATAACTTGCTAACTTCAATATAACACAACTGTCTGATACTAGATACACGTGGGATCTTCAACACAACTCTTTGTGGGGAGATCGAATCTCATCCTCTTTGGCGTTCTAGGACAGCTGATTGTTTGGGCGTTTTCTCTCATACACACGATAAACTCGTAACATTTGTCTGTCTTGTAGAACACCTCGCCCTGGGTTAGCTCCCCTTCACAGAATTCTGGAACCAGAATGGAAGAGTTTTAACTCCCTGAATGGCTTTCTTCCCTTGCAAACATACCCCATCCAATGCCAATTGCAATAACGCATTCCTCCATGCTGCATTCAATGACATGTGTTTTATACGCAGTTTGAATTATAAATGATAAACATTTGCCATACTGCATTCCTCCATGCTTCATGTGTTTTTTATACAGTTTGAATTATAAATAACATCTTCAATACTGCATTCCTTCATGCTCTGTCATTCAAAACAAGATTCATTTTATACAGGAATTCACCACTCATTCTAATCCTACTTCCATTGTTACTCTTCATTCATCAAATCAAAACAAGATACTGTAATCATCCATGACCATGCACCAAGTCCTCTTACAGTAAAGAAAATCTTTGTTTCATGATTTGAATATTCAAGACAAAAGAAAGATGACTTTAAAGCCAATCACTTTCATGATAAACAAAACCTTTCTCAATCAAACCTTCTCCCAGAGAGTGCAAGAGTAAAGAATGGTAAAATATGTACCAGTATGTAAACATCTCAAAGACCATGCAATAAAGTATAGATATCACATTCAAAATAATACGGAATTATACAACTTATCACCAAGTTCAGAGTATACTGTAGAGTCATTAGTAATATCAATGTAAATCTCATGTGCAAGTTGGGGTAAATTTCATATATACTTGTATGATACAAATATACAATTTGCATGCACAATTTCAATCAGATTAAAAATATGCAGTCATTTTATTTATTCATTTAAATTATTTATTCATTTAATATCAAAATTATAAATCTAGTTTTATAATAACTTTCTACTTAAAGGAAATGTTGTGTATGCTTAATCTTTATTCAAAATGTATAAATGACTTTAATGTTTTTTAAAAATACAAAGTCACCTAAGTTATTATTTGAAAAATATTGCAGATATTCTAATTAGTTCTTTTCAATTTTATATCAAAAGCTTGCTTTTGTGTTTAAGCACAAAAGGTAACTCTTTTTAAATTAAGGATTCCTATAAGGCAGCTACAAAACATGTTAAGATTTTTACTTACTTTCTGGTTTCATGGATGTCTTGCCCGCTCTCAGGTTCCCGATAGGAAGAGCGGTGGTGACCACAGCCACTGTGGCTTGCTCTATGGCTAGGGACTGTTCATACACCGCTAGAGGACCCACCACGATGGAGATCTGACCGTTAACCGTGGTGCGCGGCGCAATCTCTATCAGAATACCAAAGATGTACTCCTGCAGAGTCTGGTCTTGTTGACCTTTGAACTGTAGCACGAAATTAATTTTCTCTCTGGCCCCATCTGTCCTGTAATTTCAATACAAGAAATATGTGTTGATGATGTACTGAAAAATTACAAGTTGTGCATTTCAAAGAAGCAAAGAAGAACTGATATTTATGCTTAACATTGCAAGCTACTTTTTTTTCTCATATGTGTACATGAACTATACAATTCTTTGACTTTGTCAAACTCCTTTATAAATAGTACACATGATATAGAGGTTAGACTGTAGAGCTGTAACTTACGTGATAGAGGCCACTTCACATTTTTCATAGATGTCCCTGAATCTGTCTCTTCCAACATACAAGTTGGTCAACTAAAAATAAATAAATTTACACATTAATTTCATCTTCAAAATGATTTGCAAAAAATAAAATATCATAATGATTTGTAAAACAATTTTTTTTTCAAATTTACAAATAAACAAGAGCACCACAAAGCAGAAAATGATGCAAAAAGCATAGGATCCTGATGTGAATTACTGTAAACCAAGTTTTATTCATCTGAAAACACTCTGAAAACACAGAATATGGGTTAAAGCTGACAGATAATCATTGAATGGTACTCACATATTGACAGAAAGGATCTGCAATGGCTTTAAAGGCTGCTGACTGGGGGTTAGCTAAGTCTGGAGTCCAAGTCAGGTTCAGCAATACAAAGGAGGCATTGATGATTGTATTCACTGATAAAGAAAAGAAAATTGTGATAAACTACTGTGTCTTAACAAAGAAAGTTAATATATAAATTCGCAACTCACATTAGAATAGTTGGTAATAACACAATTTGAATTGTTAACAAAATTAATGATTCCAAAAAACAGATGAGTAAAAATTAAACATTTTTTTAAATGGCAAAATTATTAATTTTTTTTAAATTATTCTTTAAACTGTTATTTTCCTTATCATCCTTCAGGATATACAGTAAACATGCTTATAACCCTAGGGACTATAATTTTGATTCATTATAAACATAATTCTTTATATATCCATTAAGAATACAATATGCTTTAAAACCACACGGATTGACAATCACTTCACTGTAAGCAAGAATCCATGATTATGACCGTGTTGGCTTTAACCTTGTTTTATTGTAGACAGACCTACCTGGACTCTCTGTAGTCATTACATAGTCCTGTATCAGGTAGTTAGAGATGTTGATGGGGAAGTTCTCCATCTCTCCCCCGAGGTACACCAGCTGCTGACCTATAAACATCATGTCCTTGTTCTCTACGTTGAAGTGGTCGGCCCGCTTACTGATGATGTCCTGGATAATCTCCTTAGGAATCTCCTCAGTACCGTTAAATATCACGTTAAAGGTCAAGGTGTGCACAGGTGTGTCTCTGTCAAAGAAATTTGACAGGGTAAAAAGGGCATGGGTTTTAATTAATTTTTGTTCTTACAAATTCCATAAATTAAATTCTTGCATTTTTTTAATCATATAATTCAGGAAACAGTAATTATGATTATATAAGGAAGTTGTTTTCTATAATTTGAAATTCTTTTATGCAATTTGATTGACTTTTAAAAAGCTAGCTATGCCTTAAAACCAGACTTTAGATATATTATCTCTTATACAGTATTTTTACAACTTCACTGCTCATCTCCCAAAAAATAAAACCACCAACTAGTGACAAACATTTAAAGCTTACCCTATTTTTGTGAAGAAACATCTGTAGAATCTATCAGAGAGTTGGCTATTCTTGAAGAAGTTGTCAATCTGAAAAAAAAAAATCAAAACACTATGAACTTTGTGCATATATTTCAACTGCATGAACCTTTATCCATCAACTGTTCAACAGATTTTACTTGGAATGGTATAAGTATTTGATCATTTAGAATTAAATAAAACCTGTGATAACTTACATCACCACAGAAGAGATTCTCAAAGTCCTTAAACAGGGCCGAGTTAGAATCAGCATACTGAGAGTTGTAGGAAAACTCATGGATAAAGTAGGTCATGTTGGATAGCCAAGCATCTGAAAAAAGGAATTAAAAGTTTTAAAACTGCTACATGCTATGTAAACTATGAACTTTCTGATGTTCAAGCATTAATTAAATAAAATCTTATACTTTATGCTTCAAAGTACAGACTGCCCATAAATGACTAAATATGATAATTTTTAATGGTCTTCTATTAACCACTGCTCATAAAATCATTATTTAATCATGGAAAAATTTAAAAAAACCTTTAAAATGATGTCATATAAAATCATATAAAAAATATCATTAGGAGACTCTATTAAGTATAAAAATTTTCAGAAATACTGACCATGTAAGATGTACTCCCAGCTGTCATAGAACACTAACAGGTCACCCACCAGATGTCCAAGATTGTTCAGGTATCGATATCGTGGGGCGTCCTCAAATATAATGCCAGAAACTAGATCCTTGTATTCACCGATGTTTACCAAACCACCAAACTGGAGGTCAACTGATATAGTTGTTGGGTTGTTACTGAAAGAGAATTAAAACAGTATTCTCTAATCCCTTTTCTTAACTAGATTTTTTTTCTAACCTTGAAGTAATTTTATTCTTTTTATATTAATGTTAAAAACTGCATACTGTCTTACCCAAACTGAACAACTTCACAGCCTTCATATGTTGGGAAAATCCTTTTGTGTGATCTCATCAACTTGTCAATCTGTGGAAAAAAAAGTAGAAAAATCTTACACATCCTCACAAGCTTAAAATCTAACACATCCTCAACATCAATGAAGTCAATGGAAATCACTTGATATACTAACAACAGATATTTGAACTACATGGTTTGGTCAATTGAATTAATGAAAAATTTTCTAATCCTCATAAAACTTATTAAACATGTGGAAAACATGAGGTTTATAAATTGCAATCTGACACCCTGTCTAGACACAAAATCTATCGTTTTTAATTTCATACTCACATCTTGACAGAAGAGTGTAGCATGCTGTTTGTATCTGGCAGAGTTTTTGTCCATCAGGTCGCTGGTGTAGGTCAGATTGAGGACACGGAATGTCAGGGGCACCGTGGTGTAGTCCGTATAGTACTCAGAGAATATCAGGAACTGTCCCAGCAGGTAACCCAGGAAGTTCTTATATCTCTGTAGAGGCTGCTCCTTCATCAGCTGGAAGAACTTCTGTTGGAGTTCAGGGGTGAAATGGGTTCCCTCAAAGGTCAGGTCAAAGTACACCCGGGTCGGGTTATTTCTAGAAAACAAAGGGGTCTTTTTAGTCAGCACTGATATGCAAAAAAAACTCTATGTAAAAGATGCCAAAAATACTTAATAAAGCCTAGCTTGACTGTAGACTTACCCATACTGTTTAACTTCACATCCCACTAACTTTGGTAGGTCAACACCAAAGGTGCCAACTAGTCTTTCCAGCTGTAAATCAAATAAGAAATCATTTTTATTATCACTGTTGTTTCCAATAGCATTGTAAAATTTCATAATTGAATACATGTACATTCTCCTTCTATTCAAACATTAAAATTTAAATGAATTATTAAATATTTGAGCAAGTTGCCAATAAAGCTTTGACTACATTTACACTGTAAGTTGCTGCAAGTCACAAAGTGGGACCACACAAATCCAATAATTTGCTTTAGTAAAAAAATGATCATTATCACATCTTTCACAAGAAAACATTGATGTAGCCATCAATTGTCGCCCGGGAAAAATATGAAGTGAACCATGGAAATTACTCTTGATCATCAAAACGCTTCGATTTGTTGATAAAGACATGCGCCTGAATGATTGAGACTACGATGGAGAAAATTTACGGAAAGCTTTAAGTCAGATTAAAATCAAACAAAAACGATACACTTTTAAACTTCACCAATTCCTTATGTAACTGTTGGCTGCATAAAATATAAATTAAAATCAGTCACATGGATCACCTATCACCAAAAATATATTTGACTTAATGAATATAAATCACAAACTGTGTAATGTACGTTTTTGTGCAAAAAGTAAAATTTAATTTTCTGAAAAAGGGACCTGTCGTTTTTTCAATAGTAGATGATAATCAACTTTATATATTAAATATGGAAAACATATATATTTTTAAAGATGTACTTCATGAACAAGTATATTTTGTATATCGTAATTTATAATGGGAAAGAACATTCTGATGTACATGTATAATCTTTTTAATGTTTAGTTAACCTTCAGTTCTGAATAACTTCTCCCACCTAAATCCCCATACATCAAAACTTAAACTTATATGGTCCTCCGGGCTGCAATGATGGACTTTTATTGGACTTGATCATGTGACCAACAAGTAGAGGTATCTCTATCCTAATCCTTATACATGTTTAATATTCAATTTCTTAAAAAACTGATGGGAAAAAAAGAATATAACTATCCTTACATCTTTACAGAGGTCAGCCGAGTATTCTTTGAACATGAAGGAGTTGGGATTCCTAAGCTCGTCTGACCAGGTCAGGTTTAGGATCTGTAAGTCCATGGGGAGCTTGGTGGTGGCGTAGTCATTGATGTGGACGAAAATGTCCCCGATGACCACCCCCTCCGAGTCCTTGTAGTAGTAATGAGGCAGGTCCTTATAGATAATGTCCAGAATCTGCTTCTCACTCAGCGAGGGCTGGTCACCAGTAAACACTAGTTCCCAATTTAAAGAGGTGGGGTTGTTTCTGCAAGAAATTGACTTTGTTGTTCAATTTCAACTGTTTATAAACCAATCTTTTTTTCAACTGTTTATATAAACCAATATTTTTTAATTCAGAAATTTAAATTTAACACAGAATTTGTTGATGATTTGTTAAAATGTTTCTGATGAAAATCTTTATATGCAATGAAATAAGTGTAAGTTAATACATAATGATTTATTGTGCATCAAACTGTCTATTAACTTCTTACGCATGTACATTTCTTTAAAAAGTCACTAGTTTATAATTCAATATTCAGCACATCTTTTACACATTTAGAGCCAAATTGAAAAAATTACCCATAGGCAACAACTCTGCATTCCTTATAGTCAGCAAATGCATTGGGGTATTTTCTTATAATTCTATCAATCTGAAAGAAAAAAAAATATGCATTTTGAACAAAATCCTAATTTCATAGAAAACTGAAATAAAATCAGAAGACATATATATATTTCTACTTTATATTTTTTGGCCAGTCGTAACTTACATCAGCACAGAAGAGATCAGCGTGGGCTCTGAATTCATACGTTCTGTTGTCCAGCAAGCCTGGGGTAAAGGTCAAATTCCTGGCAATGGATCGGAATTTAAATCCTGTAATAATGGCTGGAAAAAAAAGATAGCATTTTATTTTCAGTGACATTAGTTAAAGATTGGTCAAAATTAATTACCGTATAAAATCAAATAAAAATTTTCAATGCAAAAATATCAAGACTTAAAATCTCTACATATAGCTAATGCAAGAAATGAGATTTTTTTCTACCTTAAAATCCATCAGGCTGTGCCTGCCCATAATTTACACATACCTGTCTCACAAAGAGGCCCGGTGAAATCTGGGGGACAGATGCAGGTAAAGGAGCCCTGGTTGTTGATACACTGGGCACCATTTTTACAAGGTCTGTCATAGCATTCATTGATGTCTGAATGATAAACATAAATTTAAATACATGGTGATTACTTGATAATATAACTGCAGTTTAAAGATACAAGTATTCTATGACATTCTTACAGCCTTACAGTCTGTCAAAACTGATGGCTATATCAGTCTTTTATGAATACCAGTATATCATTTTTGTTTTGGTTTAAAATATACATAAATGTTTGATATAGGAATTTTCCATTTTAACTTTGTTTAATATTATAAGTGGGCTTTCACTGAATACATTGTCCTTATACAAATCTCTGTTTCCTTCAGACTTTGTATTGACTCTCACCTATTTCACAGTTAGTGCCGGTCCAGCCCGGGGGACAGATACACTTGTAGGACCCCGGGGTGTTGACACACTCCGCTCCGTTCTGACACGGGCGGATAACAAGACACTCGTTGATTTCTACAAACAGTCAACAAAATATATCTAAAGTCAAAAACAGTCATTTTACGCTCCTGAAAATGAGTCAGAATTCTTCAGCTAGAAATATAAAGTTGCACTTTGCTTTATCTTTAAAACTGACACCTTGAATACCATGGACATATCAAAGTCCAAAGACATCTTGAAGTCCCAACCACTTATCATTGAAGTATTTTACCCTAAAAATCTCGAAATTTGAGATATATTGAAGCTTTTCCTTTGCACCAACAAGTTTGAAATAATAAGATTTGAATGACAGTGTACTTTAAATAAAACTGAAGAATTTCATTAATATTGAACTGAAAATTGATTTTTTACATTTGTCACTTACTGAAAACTAACCAACATGTATCACTTAAATCCAATTTGACATCTTTGTATGACAGAACTGTCTACTTACCTGTATCACAATTCTTTCCTGTCCATCCTGGTGCACAGCTGCATGAATATGATCCAAAACTGTCATAACATGTGGCCCCATTCTTACAAGGTCTGTATAAAACACACTCATTGATGTCTGAAAGACAAAAATTGTTTCAAATCTTACTACAATCAGAAACTTTCAAATCTTAATACAATCAGAAAAAGAAGCTTCAACAGGGTCAGCACTGCTTATTAAGATACTGAAATTTTAAAGGGCATTATCTTGACAAATCGAATTAAAGTCAAGTCAAAGGGACATTTAATTTACTGCTTTTGCATCCTCTTAAAACTAATTCAGATATTGAAATTTTAAGGGCATTATCCTAACAAATCCATACAAAGTCAAAGGGACATAACACTTACTGCTTTCACATCTCTCGCCGGTAAATCCTGGAGGACATGTGCACTTAAAGCTTCCCACCAGGTTCTCACAGGTTCCTCCATTCAGACACGGGTTGTTAAGACACTCGTCTGTATCTACAAAGGGAAGAGAAGCAAAATATTACATTCCAGAACCTACGGCAGAATCTTAACCAAGAGTTGTGTACAGTGGAACTTCGGTATCTCAAAGAACCAATATTTTGTATACAAATACCATGGATATGTGTCAAAGAATTTGGAAGTCCCAACCAATATTCTAAAAAGTATTTTATCCTTAATATCTCAAATCCTTGTGAATTTTTTTGTCACACTGAGCTCAAGATAGCAAGGTTTGACAATAAGCACATAACAAACGTATAGAGCCAAAATTAAGATTTTTGTTGAGCTGAGACGACAGTAAAACTTGGTTATAACGAAGTCACTCGGACCTATGAAATTTCATTGCTATATCCATAATTAGTTATATCTGCATTAGGCATTTGCTAAATTTAAAAAGCTAGGGATCCAAGATAACTTTGCAAAATCCATGAATTTGCAATATCTGTGTTCCTACTAAATGAGATATACTGTATAAGTTTGAGAGTATTGAAGTATTCTTTATATAGAAAAAGAGATATGACTTGCCATTATCACAGTTTCTGCCTGATCTCCCTGGGGGACACTGACAGATGTAGGACCCCACCGTGTCAATACAGGTCCCTCCAAACTTACAGGGGTTACTCTTACACTCATCATGGTCTGTAAAGAGAGGAAAATTTGTCACCGTCAGATTTATTTCAAAACAAATTAAAAAGACTCAGCCTATCTTTTACTCCGGAAAGTTTAAACTTCTATATGACTATAACTTACTGTATTGACATAGGTTGCCCTCAAAGCCTGGTTTACATTTACAGATGTAGGAGCCTGGCGTGTTCTCACAAATGGCGTCATTGAGGCAGGGATTGTCAATCAAACATTCATTTATATCTGAAAAAGTTTTTTTTTTTCAAAGTAAATAAAGGCATTCATCTTATCTTTTATCTAAGATATGCTGTTCATGTTTTAAAATTGTTACATTAAACTAATGGACAAATTTAGGGGTTTTAATTCTTTCTTGTAACCAAACAAATTTATCTCAGGCCAAAAAAAAAATTAATAGTTTCTCAGGCCAAAAAAATCAAAATTCAATGCAACAGACAGGCTTTTTTTTTCTTTTGAAGCAGGTTTTACACCTTGATAATATCTACTAATTAATAAGTTTTGTTCTCTGAAATTAGTTATAATATGCATTAATCTTTAATGTTATTCTATACATTTATTTAAAAGTTTATTCATAACATACTGTAAATTTAGAAGAAATATATAGTTTTTCTAATAAAAACGTCTATCTTAGCATTCAAACTTTTTTTTTTTCAACTTGGAAAAATAGCAAATTGAGTTATTTCCCTTTTCAATATGTCAATAAAATTGATCAATGCGGCCGTTTTTGATCTGATGCGGCGGTGCCTGAGAAACTATTGATTAATTTTTTTTGGCCTCAGTATCTTTCGTTTTTTTGTACTTCAATATCAATATAATATATGTATTAGAGAATTCAAGGCCCCTGGCCCAAAGTACAATACAATTTAAATCACAAGTATTTGCAAAGTCGGGCTCAAGCATAAAACAATATGTAACATCTTTATCATTTTGGCTTACCGATGTGACAATATTTCCCCTCCCATCCGACCTGACACTGGCACGTGAACGACCCCTGAGTGTTGATACAGAGAGCGTTATTCTGACACAGCGTGAGATTCAGGCACTCATTCATATCTGGGTAAAGAAAAAAAATTAGCTGATTAAATATACACGGATTTCATTTGTGGACAAAACTAAATGAACCAATGGCATTCTTTCCTTTCACACAAAAGAGAGGCATTTCCAAATTTTCATTGCAAAAATTACAGAGAAAATATTTTAAAAATAAAATAAGAATGTTTTTTTTCATGTACACTTAGTTTGAAGTGAGTTTTTTGCTGTTATTTATAACTGTTTCATAACCCTGCATCTTTTGGTAAAAGAAATTTACACATTGGAAATGTTTCACATTTTTCTCAGCAACATTACCTTGTTCACACATATCCCCTCGCCAGCCTGGCGGACATTCACATCTAAAACCTCCAGGTATGTTGATACAGGTGGCGCCGTTCTGACACACCTGCATCTTACACTCGTCAATATCAATAGTACAGTTAGCCCCCTCCCAATGTTCTGTACATCTACACGTGTAGCCGCCCAGGGTGTTAATACAGAACCCGCCATTCTGACAAATTCCCACAAATTCGATACACTCGTTGATATCTGAAAATTAATATCATACTTATCTTATGAATCAGGTAGTTTTAAGAACTCAAGGTAAGAATCGATATTTGAAGTTTACAATTTTCATAAAAATAACATTGGGAAAATCAAAATTTCTCCCGTTTTGTCAACATATACACCACATTTGCTTGTGCACCTGCAGTAACTGTAAGAGTTATTTCCCCTAATTGAGAGTGAATGTAGACATCCCTATTTAACAACACATTTAATACTATGGAAATATTTTGTAATTAGAACTGTATAAATGATGTATTGATATGACTGCTTTAATGTGATATGATATTAAGGCTGTTTTATTTCAGGGCTGTTTGGTTCACTTGAAGTTCTTTTCCCCTTTGTGTCTGAAAAGAGCTGAACCATGAATGGCTTGCTGATTCAATAAACCACCTGTCACAGACAAACTGATATCACAACTTCTGAAATCGGATTAAACCTTACCCATAGTGCAGTATTCTCCTGTGAAGCCAGGGGGACATTTACACTGATATCCTCCATTGATGTTAATACAGGTTCCTCCATTAAGACAGGCATTGGGATTCAGACATTCATTTTTGTCTGAAAATATCAAAGAAATAATCAGTATTTAGTTAACAATAAACCTATCACATCCATGACATACAAAGTTCTGTACATGTTTACTATAAATATTTGTCCACGTTAATAGGTGATTTAACTATCTTCTGCTTGAATTCTTTTAATAAAATAAAACTTTTATCTATGTTCAACAATTATGCAGATTTATGTAAAAATTATTTGATTTATGTTGATTTATGCAGATTTATGCACCTTTGTCACAGAGAGGGCCTTCCCAGTGAGGTGGACAGATACATTGGAAGGACCCTGGGGTGTCGATACACCTTGCTCCATTCTTACAGGGATTGGACAGGCATTCATTCACGTCTAAAGAAACAAGCAAAATCAGTTATAAAAAAATTCTATATATATAAATTCAATCAAATTAAAAGAGAGAAAGAGTGAGACAGAGGGGGGTAATAAATTTGTACCCTTACCTCCTGTACAAAGTTTTCCAGAGTAACCTTGAGGACAGATACACTCAAAAGAGCCATCAAGGTTTTTACATGTTCCTCCGTTTCGACAAGGGAACTGCAAGCATTCATTTACATCTACAAGAAACAAAAGTAAGTGAAATAAGAGTAATATAAAACTGCTATTTACTGCAATCATACCTTTCAAAACACCTTCATGAAGAATTAGTTTCATATTTTGTAATACTAAAAATTTCTTTTTTGTGTGCGAGTACGTTCTATCAAGGAATGGCTCTTTAACTTCATATTGCGAGAACATGAATTTTGTGAGTCAACAATCGTATATGAATTTCAGATCCATCAAAATAAAAGCCAGTAATTTTATTTCCCCAGTAGTACTTCTTGCAAAATTGATTAATTCCTCATGTTTCTACAGTAATTGTAATTCCTACCTTCGTCACAGAGAGCTCCCATCCATCCCTCACTACACTGACAGGAGAAGGAGCCGGGGCTGTTAATACATCGACCGCCGTGGAGGCAAGGATTCCGCAGACACTCATTGATATCTGTACAATTATAGAATAAAATGTTAGTGATTCTCCAGCAAGTCAAAAGGCCAAGATATATATACAGTCAAACTTGTCTAATGCAGGTACTATCATCGTACCAAAGAATTGGCCTGATTGGATAACACTTGAATCAACTAAATTGGAATGAAAGTTTAGACCATATTAGGCAATATAACAGAATACTCAACATCAGAGGCCTGTTCAACAGAGTGAACGTTTTTGAGCGCTCACCAAATTTCCTTATACTCCGATAAATATTTTCGCAAGCGCTCGCTCTGTCGAACAGGCCTCTGCATAAGTTTCACTGTATATCAGAAAACTTGACTCTTCTACTTACCAATATCACAGAGTGGCCCCTCCCAGCCTAGAAGACACTGACACACAAAGCTTCCCAGGGTGTTCTGACACGAGGCACCATTTTTACAGAGGAACATTGGACATTCGTTCACATCCTCGCTACAGGTGGGGCCCATCCAGCCTGGGGGACAGCGACAGATAAAGGAACCGTCAGTGTTCACACAGGTCGCATTGTTCATACAGGGGTTCATCAAACACTCGTTTACATCTGCAAATAAAGTTTACAATGATTACACTGATAATTAAAATCACAGTTTTCCAGTATTATTTGATAATGTGTCTACACATCATATTTTATAAATCTCCAAGTCAATCACTGTGAAGTGACTTAAAATCACAGTTTTCCAGTATTATTTGATAATGTGTCTACACATCATATTTTATAAATCTCCAAGTCAATCACTGTGAAGTGACAGATTAAAACATGATATTACTGACCAATACGGCAGCCATGCCCCGTCCACCCCGCTGGACAATTACAGGTGTAGTTCCCGGCCAGATTGATACACTGTCCACCATGTTCACACACACTGTACGCTAGGAGACACTCGTTCACATCTAAAAAAAATGTTAAAAAACTCAAACTTTACTGGAAAGTCATTTCAAAAGGAGTTACTGTAGCTTTTGGGAAGAAAATCTTTAAAATAAGAAAAAAAAATAACTATGGCAACTTAGAAATGATGCATAGAATTATGCATCTTAGTGGAAGTATTGAACATTGGACCAAAACTGTAGGAGGAATATTTTCAAAGGAAATCTCATACATCCAATATCTTCACTTTCATGGCAATACAATTCATAGAAATCAAAACCCTGTATGAGGTACTTTAGTCTAGTATGGCAAATTTATAGAAATTGAGAGCAAAACTACAAGAGAAGCATTTTACATACTGATTTAACTTACCAATATGACAGTTTTCTCCCGTCCAGTACTGAGTACATCTACAGGTGTATGAGCCATCTGTATTGATACAAGTCCCTCCATTCTGACAAGGGTTTCTCTCACATTCATTGGTGTCTGAAGGTTAAAGATTATCACAATCATTAACAAAACTTGTTTCTAACTTAACCATCAAGAAAAGTTAACTTTTTCTAGTGATTTCAAAAAAGGAAAACAAGCTTCTTTCATCTTTTATTTGTTATTCATGCATATGCATGAAAAGAAAAAGATATAGAAAACCCTTTACCGTTTCTACAGTCTTTTCCAGTGCGTCCTGGTTTACACTGACACACATATGAACCAGGTGTGTTGATACAGGTCCCACCATATAAACACGGGTTCAGGTTACACTCGTTAATATCTGACAGAAAAAAACAAAACAGATACGATCAAATACCCTAATGTTACATGTCAAAGCGAAAATATTCATTAGGGATGACAATCTAATTATTTCATCGAGAACATTTATCAAATAATGAAATCAAATCCAAAATAAATTTTTAATATGGTTAATTTTTGAAATGAACAATTCTTCAAGTCCAAATTTAATAATCAATTTTAAATCACAAAATCAATGAAATTCATCACCAAAATTATATCCCTTTCAATTGAATTTTGTAAACAAATTTAACCAATGTTACTAACCATCGGTGCACAAGGGTCCCTGCCAGCCGTAACTACACTCGCAGTAATAGGACCCGTGTGTATTCCTACATGTTCCGTTGTTCTGACAGGGATTTTTTTCACATTCATTTCGATCTGTCAGATACAGAACAATCTTTAATCATTGGCACTCAATTTCTCAAAAAAATATTTTCAAAAACTTCAGTACTCTTTATACTTTTATGGAATCATTGAAATTCTCTTGCTTAAGAAAATGAATTGCCAAACTAATCCATTTCTTTGTAGTCTTTGCAATTATGTTTGTGGTAACTATAAATAGAAATTTATTTAATTAGGAACACTGACCTAGTTCGCAAGTTGGTCCGGTGAATCCAGGAGGACAAATGCACTGATACGATCCATCGTTATTCATACAGGTACCTCCGTGTTTACATGGGAAGTACATACACTCATCCTTATCTACAAAATAATGTCAAAATATCAGTATGTGATATAAATCAAATTCAAATCTACATGTATCAAAAATATGCTCCGATACATATAAATATTTAAAGCTTTTTCCAGGTCTCTCAGAATTTTTGCTGTGTATGCAGTATCAGGTATCTAACAAAACGTATCAGTGACTTCCTTTAACCTCTCACCTCTGTTGCAGTCTTTCCCGATCCACCCCTCGGGACACTCACACCTGTACCCTCCCATCAGGTTGACACAGGTCCCCCCGTGTAGGCAGGGGCTGAGGGTCAGACACTCATTTATATCTACAACAAAGCATTATTAAAGTTAAAGTATTCTTATTAGTCTTCCTTACATACATGCATCTATAGCTGAATCAGATAACTAGGTATTATTAAAAGATGCATTGTATAAAGCTGATACATGAAGAGGTATCATATACAGGTCAAACATGAAAAAAGAATCTTTAAATTTACTTTCTCTTTTATAATTACAAGATTAACAATAATATTACAGCAGTACAGAAGTAGCTCTTATACATAATTAAAGGTTACCTTTTTCACAATATTTTCCTTCAAATCCGTCCCTACACACACAGCGGTATGATCCATCCAAGTTCTGACATGTCGCGTTATTCTGGCATCGAATCATTCGGCACTCATCAAGGTCTATAAAAATGAAGAGTATTCAGTAAATCAAAATACTATAATCATTGTTCTTGTCTTCAATGCTCATCAAGTTTGAGTTCCTTCAGTAATACTCGCCTAATTCACAGTTTTTGCCTGTGTACTGTTGTGGACATTCACAGATATAAGATCCATTTGTGTTCTTACAGATGCCACCGTGAATGCATGGGTTGTTCAGGCATTCATTCACATCTGAAATCATACAATCACACAACAATTAAAATCACAAACTTTACACTGGAATATCACCATAGAGTTTCAACAACCATGGTCTAGTCCTAAGGCATGATACACATATAATTTGAAAATATCAAACCAGAGCATGTATTGGTTCCTACCATCTTGACAAATGTCCCCCGTCCAGCCGGTTTTACATGTACATCTGAATGAACCAATCGTGTCTCTACAAGTCCCACCGTGCAGGCAGGGGAAGTTAAGGCATTCATTTTTGTCTGTCATTAAAATGGAAAGAAAATTAACGTCCAAAAATAGCAAGCAAATTTCACCCAAACAATAGTTTGTTTACAAATAACATCGGTACATTGCAGATTTTACCCAGACAATGGTCTATTTACAAAAACACTGGATCAGTCAACAGTTTTTGTCTTTCTGTTTCAGTAATGTAACTTCCACTCACTTCTTTGACATTGATTTCCCATCCAGCCTGGTGTACACTCACAAAGATAACCACCCTCTGTGTTGATACATTTACCATTGTTATAACAGGGAGTACTGTCACATTCATTGGTGTCTGGAATAGAAAATATTACAGACTGTCAGAAAATATTCCATATTTTCTACTAATTTTAAGACCAAACACATAAATTCAAGAAATATCGGTACATGTACTAATTCCAGGGCTCTACATTAACTTTTTTCCCCACTTGTCCATTCGGACAAGTGACCAAGATATTTACTTGTCCGAACTTCAACTTCACTTGTCCGAAAAAATTTTCATTGAATATCTTATCCTGTCAACTTGAAAACTATTACATAAATGAAAATAAATTAAACGTTTGATTTATTAGTCTTGTTATTGATAAAAAAGACAAACACATATAAAACAAAATTTTATCTACACAACCTGACCTGACAACAACATAACTGTTTGCAAGTGAATCTGTAATTCAATCAGATTTATTCCAAATCGGCAAACATCGCAAGATCCACGCCATGCAATGGTATGGATGCAATTAGTGAATATCGATCCCGATCAAGTGTAAACTTCAACTTACATAGCGATTGATATCGGGATCGAAGGGGGTTTATGTGCTTCCGTTTGTATTCGATAAACTTATCAATTAAATCAATAGTTGTTTTTTTATTATTATTCAAAGACTTCTTTACATGAAAAATCACTTGTCCAATTGGACAATGCCCAGCAATATTCACTTGTCCGTAATTGTTTTTCATTGGTACCGGACAAGCGGACAAGCGTTAATGTCGAGCCCTGAATTCTAAGGCGAAATAGGTGTTTATTTGAAAAGAAAGCTAAGTTACCATTGTTACACTGTGGCCCACTCCATCCCTTGGCACAGAAGCATTCATAAGTTCCATACAGATCAAAGCAGGTGCCTCCATTAAAGCAGGGGTATACGTCAGCTTTACATTCATTCACATCTGAAAGGGAAAAAAACATAATTTACTCAAATGTCTCATCACTTTTCTTATTACATTATAAGGAATAAAAGAATTTTGAATAATAAAACACAAGATATTTGTCCTCTGACAGACAACTGGAGTCTGATTTAATATCAATTCAAAATTTTCCCAATTGTTGCTTCGCTTTTCAATTTCATTGACAATTTATGTTTAAATAAAATTTTTAATCTTCAGCTTACTTTCACTGCAGTGTTTTCCTGTGAACCCAGGAGGACATATGCACTCGTACGCAGCACCAAGATAATTACAGGTGCCCCCATTCTGGCAAATATCGGGATTTTCCGTGCATATATTCACAGCTACAAAACAAATTAATTTTATGACAATACACAATCAAAAATGAAGAATTTTGAAAGTTTAAAATAAAATTTATGGCAAAATTGCTTATTAGAAAAAAAACATTGCTTGATAACAATGTATCTGATTTGAATCAACACAATAAAAGCTTTAACTTACGAGTGTCACAGTATTCTCCAGTCCAGAGGTCCGTACATTTACAGAAATAGATTCCATTCCTTGAGATACATTGGCCATCATTTAGACAGGGTGTGTGTAAACAGGACTGCTCTAAAATACAAGATAATAAATACATAGAGACATTTATACTATTTAATACTCCAAATATTAAAAAATAAACAAGAGGCCCATGGGCCTTATAGGTCACCTGAGCATTATTCAACAACTTTCCAGTGATTGAATTTGATCCATGTTTTAAGCCAGATGCTGTAGCATTTACAATTTGGTCATCATAACTATACACTTAACAGTTCCTTAGTTTGGTTGCTTAATACCCAAAGGCAGGGTAGGGGAACAAAAAATGCATTTCAACAAATCAGTAATATTCAGCAATAATCAGTTGTGCCGCTACCACACATGAACCCTTTACTCTTAGGCCTAGATCCACACATTGCACAATTTTTGGAAGGCATCCTTGCTTTTCAAAAATATTTGATAAATACCAAGGAGCACATTTCAAACAATTCATTCATTTTTTTGTTTATTAGTTAAGCGCCCCCCCCCTCTATGGTACACCTGACCCTGGGGTCTTGAAATTTACAATTCTTGAAGATTAGGGATTACTAATAACTATATAGGTAGTTCATATGCTTAAAGCCTAGGAGCAAAGAAGAAAATATTCAAAGATTTAATGTTTTTTCACTATACATGCATAATCAATACAGCCCCCCCTAACACCAGAGTCCCTGACCCTGGGGCCATAAAATTCATAATTTTGGTAGAGGCACTCTTGCTCATCATAACTATGTACTTAGTTAGTTTATTTAATACCCAGGAGCAGAGAAGAAGATTTTCAAAGAATTCATGTATTTTCACTATATAATCAATAGAGCCCCGCCCTAACACCAGAACCCCTGACCCTGGGGCCATAAAATTCACAATTTTGGTAGAGGCACTCTTGCTCATCATAACTATGTACTTAGTTAGTTTATTTAATACCCAGGAGCAGAGAAGAAGATTTTCAAAGGATTCATGCATCTTTACTATAAAATCAATAGAGCCCCACCCTAACACCAGAACCCCTGACCCTGGGGCCATAAAATTCACAATTTTGGTAGAGGCACTCTTGCTCATCATAACTATGTACTTAGTTAGTTTATTTAATACCCAGGAGCAGAGAAGAAGATTTTCAAAGGATTCTTGTATCTTTACTATAAAATCAATAGAGCCCCACCCTAACACCAGAACCCCTGACCCTGGGGCCATAAAATTCACAATTTTGGTAGAGGCACTCCTGCTCATCATAACTATGTACTTATTTAGTTTATTTAATACCCAGGAGCAGAGAAGAAGATTTTCAAAGAATTCATGTATTTTCACTATATAATCAATAGAGCCCCGCCCTAACACCAGAACCCCTGACCCTGGGGCCATAAAATTCACAATTTTGGTAGAGGCACTCTTGCTCATCAAAACTATGTACTTAGTTAGTATATTTAATACCCAGGAGCAGAGAACAAGATTTTCAAAGAATTCATGTATTTTCTCTATATAATCAATAGAGCCCCGCCCTTACACCAGAATCCCTGACCCTCGGGCCATAAAATTAACAATTTTAGTAGAGGCACTCTTGTTCATCATAACTATGTACTTAGTTAGTTTATTTAATACCCAGGAGCAGAGAAGAAGATTTTCAAAGAAATAATGCATTTTCACTATATACTTTTTTAGCCCCGTCCTAGCACAAGTACCCCTGACCCCAGGGCCATGAATTTCACAATTTTGGTAAAGGACTCAATGCTGATTACAATCATGCAAACAGTTTGACTGCTTGATGTCCAGGAGTAAAGAAGAAGATTTTTAAAGATTGCATTAATTTTAGTGGTTTTGGCCCCACCCCTCATGCCCCAGGGGGGCAGGAATCATGAAATTCATAATTTTTGTTCCCCTTCACCCATAGATGCTTTGTGCCAAATTTGGTTGAAATTGGTTCAGTGGTTGCAGAGAAGAAGCTGAAAATGTTCAAAAGTTTACGACCGATACGACGAACGACGAACGACGTACGACGGACGACGACGGACGAAAACAGATAGCAATAGGTCACCTGAGTGACTCAGGTGACCTAAATATACATATCAACTAAGCAAAAAAAAAAAAAAAATACATGTACATGTATATTTTTGAACACAAGAATATCACTATGTTGTAGAAATACAGATTATTTTCTTATTAATTTTTCTTCAGGGGTTCAAAATTCCTCAAGCCCGACGTCCCGGACTAACAAATTCCGGATCCGGACTCGGCATTTAGAATTCGCCAAAGTCCTGGGACTTGGCTATGTTTTTTGTTTATCTTTTTTTTAAGTTAAAAAAATGATCGTAAAGCTAAAAATAAAGCAAATTCTCAAATGTATTACGTAAAAATGTGGGTTTGTGGTCGTTAAAATACCCATAAAACATTACGAACGTTTCGAAAATACAATCCGTCTTTTTATGTTCCGTTGCGGTTAGATTCTTGCTTTTACGCAATTCCTTATGTTTCCTCCTATATGACAAATGGCAATTAGTCTATTAGTTTTTTAAATTTCGGTTTTAGCTTTGACTTACAGCACATTCTAACTGCTATGTATTGTAACAGATGGTTTATTCAGTAGTGAGTATTTGTAAAAGTTATTTTAATGTACCAATAATCTATCAGTCTGGTACTTTTGAAATACTCATGTATGACTATATGACAGTTTATGGAGGAAAAATAAAACATATATTAATACATATAGTCTTTATTCATTCAATGCAACAAATGAAAATAAATTATAAGTAACATAAATTTAATGATGTATAGGTTAATATGGACTTTCAAATTTCTTCCTCGGACTTGCCTAAAATTTACTCTTTAAGTCCTGGACTTGACCATGACAAAAAAAAATTTGAACCCCTGTTCTTTTTGCACTGTTTAAGAAATACAGATCACAGTTTTCCTTCTTTTCCTATTTAAGATTTGTGCAATTCATAGAAATTGTCATCTGACAACCCCCTTACCGATGTCGCAGTGCTCTCCCTTGAATCCCGGTAGACAGGTACAGTTATAGCTTCCCATTAAGTCGGTACAGGTGGCGCCGTTCTTACAGACATCAATAATCTCCACACACTCGTTCTTATCTGTTAAATGTACAGGGGAAAGTTCTCAAGTTAGCAAAAACATTCAAAGGACAATTCTGCAAAATGCTCTGTATCTAGACTCCTATCAGTTGTACCAATGATTTCCTTTCATTTCTAGAATCTTAACAATTTCACTTAGACAATACTTCATGTTTTGTGTTTTCTCATACTCAGAACTTTTCAACAGCAAAAAAGTTTAAAAAAAAAAAAAAACAGGAAAGAGGAATAAATGGCATTATCAATCGTTAACACATGAATCCAAAGGCAATAGTTCCCCTGCTTCTTACTTAATGCACAATGTGGTCCCATCCATCCTGGCTCACAATCACAGAGGTCATACCCCGGCATACTGATACAGTGTCCATGTCCGTGGCAGAACTGGGCATCCAGACAGTAATGGATATCTACAACAAATATAGAATAATAGAATGGTCTTCCATTAAAGATGAAAGATCCTAAGTCATAATCACACAAGTGGGCCTGAAGTGGCTAGGGCTGTTTTCAAGATCGTAGCAGCTAGTTAGCTCTACTTAGCTGCTATGGTCTTGACCGATATGCTAGCCTAGCCATAACAAACATTAGTTCATACATTGCATTCAATATTACCTAGATATCTAACCTAAAAGCTAGGCTAGCAGCTATAATCTTGAAAACCTGCTCACAAAAGGAAGACAAAAATTGATTTGAAAAAAAATTCTGTAGAAGAGGAAACAACTTCACAAAATATTTGCAGAGGCATTTATGTTCTATTCCCTGAGGTCAAAACTTGTTATGTCATTTTTTATTCTATCTTCTACGAAAGTTGCATGCTACACATCCACTTGTTTTGGAAGTACATTGTCATTTCATTTCTCTGAACATTTAAAATTTTAAAATTTAATATCCTCTGATAATTGTATTCATGGAGAGAACTAATAAAGGCCTTTGGCCTGCTGTTCAACGCATATTCATATTGTACACTTCTTTGTATATTATGAATAAAATACATCTCAAACTGTAAACTATAATTGTATCCCTTACCCACAGAACAGAATGGTCCTTCCCAGCCCTTGGCACAGATACACTCAAATCCTCCCAGAGTGTTGTTACAGGTAGACCCATGTAAACAGGGGAAGTTCAGGCATTCATCTGTATCTGTAATAAAAAAAAATTTGTAAGACCTTTATTTCCACTTTCCTTGACACATGAAAAAAAAAATGTTTTTTCCCTTAAAAACAGGCATAGTCTTATTGTTCTTTTTGTCCTTTTATGGAAAGTTAAATTCAGGAATATTTTTCATGCAAGGCTTAATTTTTTTGTTTTGAACTTGGACTAGCTTAAATTACAATTACAATTTGATAAGATAAAGATATGAACAATACTGTGCTGAAGATTCAGTGTATTTTTACTCCACTAAATCTGAATCATTAATATGTAAAAAAAAAAAATCCCCTACCATTAGCACAGTTGAGCCCGGTCCATCCTTCTTTACAATTACAGGTGTAACCACCAGGTGTGTTGATGCAGTTAGCTCCGTGCAGACAAGGGTTGTTCAAACATTCGTTTATATCTACAATATATTCCAATTCCATTATTTATATGTATCATAATAATGTACAAAAACACAAAAACTTTGATCCAGTGGAAGCTGACAGTTAAATAAATATGGATATATATGGATAGAAAATTAGCATCTGCTCTTGAAAGTTGTTAAGAGTTTTTTAAACTGCTGCATTGATCAGACATAATTGTTTTTCCATTTCTGCAGTTTTCAGTAGTCTAAATGTAGGTGAATTTTGTCAGTAATATTATGTTAGCATCATTCTGACTTGATTTTGCTTTGCACATGTATGAGACAACTTCTAGATATAAATTGTTTTTTTTTGTTTTTACATCATCACCTGTCTTGTTAACATATACATGTATCATACTCAAAGGGCAATGCAAGTATAAATGTACAGTAAATCAGTGTCTTTGAATCTTTCAAGTAAATCCTCTCTTTGCTAAAGCATTCATAAAACAGATTTTCCATAAAAGTGAAAGTCACTCTCGCAAAAGAACTATTGAATATAAATTCCTGTTAAGTCTACATTATAGATAATTAGTCTTCCAGTTAAGAATTCCTTTGATGACATAAAATTAATACGATAACAACCAAATTGTTAAAGACACAAATATTACAAAAAATTGTTAATGACATGAATTTACGCCATCTGATCATACCTATCATTCCTGAAAAGCAAGGCAAAAACTATAATAATCTGCACTGGATTTTGGGTTGAGGTCAAGTTATTCTTGTCATCAAAAAAAAATCTTTGCTTTAACTTAAAAATCTTGAAAAATGTTGAAAAAAGTGATTTTACCCTTTTCACAGAGTGGGCCTTCAAATCCTGGAGGACACCTGCACCGGTAGGAGCCATCTGTGTTGATACAGGTAGCACCATTGGCACACAGATTCATGGTTATGCATTCATTCACATCTGCAACAAAAACAGAAAAAAAATTGAAGCCACTTATAATTTACCTATACACTTAATTATTTACAAACTGTATTAAAAATTCCGATTTTTTATTATGCAATTATTTCATATTTGTTTCGGCAATAAAGTTGGATCCACCACATCATTTTATGCGTACCTATTCCACAGTTTTTGCCCCTCCACCCCGGGGGACAATCACACTTGTAGGACCCCTCGGTGTTGAAGCAGGTGCCCCCATTTTTACAGATTCCTGGGAACTGCAGGCATTCATTGGTGTCTGAAAGATAAGTACATTGTATAAAATGTCTAAATTCTATAAGATAGGCTCAGAATTTTACATGTACATGTATATGGTAGAGAGTATACATAACATTTTGACTATTATCTTAAATAAAAAAAACTTTTGATACATGTATGCATATACATCTCAATGACATTTTTATGATAATTCTTTTATTCAGTGTTTGACAGATATATGTGTTACCGTTTCCACACAGCAGGCCCACAAATCCATCAGGACACACACAAGAGAAGGATCCCACCGTGTTATAACACGTTGCTCCATTCAAACAAGGATTTCTCTTACACTCATCCTCATCTGAAATAACATCTCAACCCATAAATGATTGTTATACATACAATTAACGGCACAAAATTCACTATACACGAGTTTATAAGCAACTTTACAGTAAAAATCAACAATTTTAGTTCAAAAGTAAAGCCCGACCTATTTCGCAGTTCCTTCCTGTCCAACCATTAGGGCACCTGCACTGATAAGAGCCCTGAATGTTGATGCAGGTTCCTCCGTTGGCGCAGGACATTTGTAAACACTCGTTGACATCTGAAAACAAGAGTGAACAATACATATTATTTAAGATATACATATACATACAATTTCCATCTACACTTCTTACTTTACTTAAACAAAACAAGTGCACTGCATTTATCAGTAACACAAAATTGAGTTTCATTGTATAGCAGACAAAAGCAGAGAAAAAATCCAATATCTATCAAAACAAGATTCAGTTTCTAACAAACTTCTGAAGATAGTGTAGATGAACTTAAGCTTGTATATAAGTCTTACCCTCTAGACAGTATGGCCCAGTCCATCCTCTCGGACAGCGACAATAAAACGATCCGTAAGAGTTGATACAACTTCCATTATTGAAACATGGGTTCCGCAAGCATTCATCAATATCTTTAAAAATATTCAGAAAACATTGTGTTTATAAAGAATTTGGAAAAACCTACTCAGAGTAAAGTGAACAGTTATGTAGACAGGACAAAGCACAATGATTATATAATTTTTATATGGCTGAAAAAATAATGTAAAGAGTCTGCATCATCAGACAATTTGAAAATTCATATTCTAATGATTTTCCTACAAGTCAAGTTGCAATGTTAAGTACTATGGTAATGTAAAGAATCTACATTATCTGAAGAAATTCCCCATTAATTCCTACCCATTTCGCAGTTGGTGCCGGTCCAGCCGTCCTTACACATACAAGTGTACCCTCCATTGATGTTCAGACAGGTGCCCCCGTGTTTACATGGCGAAAACAGCACACACTCATCCACATCTGTTAAATGTACATGTATGTCACGTTATTGAAAGAGTTAATCACTAATAAAATCAAATCAAAGGGCAAATTCAATAGTACTTCTGACCTAATTACCATGACAGTTTTCAATGAAAAATTTGGAATTTCCATACTTGTGAAAAAAATAATGATGACTTATTGCCTGCAGCAAGCCATCATTAAGAAGGAAAGAAAGATTAGTTGAAAAATCACGCCTTGTAAGTTCAATTCAAATGAATCCTAGCACTTTCATTTACATGACAGAGATCAATTTCTTGTAATCCTTCATGATACAGATTAATTATCCCCCTCTACTCACCATCCATACAGTTGTGTCCGGTTCGTTCTCTGGGACAGGCACACATGTAGGAACCCCGGGTGTTCAGACATGTTCCATTGTACATACAGGGATTCCTCAAACATTCATCAACATCTGTAACGGAGAAAAGTACATGATAAAGTACCTGTACATTATAAATCATATTTGTACCAAATTTCTACAAAAATTGAACCTTTCCAGTAAGTTTTCTGACATTGTGCTCACAAATTCTCATACATGTAATTGATATACTTACCTATTCTACATTCATATAAAACATTAAATTAATGAAAATTTAACCAAAAATTTTACCTGTACAAAACTTGAAAAGATGAAAAGGTTCAAAATACATATGGTTACAATGGTTACCTGTTGTGCAGTCTGGGCCGGTCCATCCCTCCTTACACTGACACAGATAGGAGCCGTCGATATTCTGACACGTCCCACCATTTCTACAAGGCTGCATCGTAAAACACTCATTCACATCTGAAAAATTACATCAGGTCAATTATAGACATACCAATATAAGTGCATGGAAAGCAATTTATTTGACTGAACTACCCTTATGATATCACTCACTTGACTATTTCCAATGCAGTCTGAGAGGCATGTTTCGTTTGATCAAGACTTACCCGTATTTGAATGCATGTGTATATTTTAGTTATTTCTCACTCCTGACCAATATCTTTTTACTTTTATTTCCTTCAAACTTTGAGAATATGACCTTTAATTGTTTTACTATCATAAATATTAAATTTAAAAAAAAACACATTTAATATTTTGCATATGAAAAATACAAATGCCTGATTAGTAGACAAAGTAATGTAACAAGGTTTAAAGTACAGTAGTTGTTATTTATATCCTGACCTTTTTCACAGTTCTTCCCCATCCATCCAATGGGACACTGACAAGTGTATCCCCCTTCTATGTTGATACAGGTACCACCGTGTAGACAAGGCGGGAAGCTGATAGAACATTCATCCACATCTATTTAAAACAAACCATAAATGTACTCTACAAGTCCAAACGAAACATTCTGCTGATTGCGTAGTTTAGTCGTCAAACAATTTCATTATAAAAAACAACCTTAAGTTAAATAATAGGTAATGTAAACTAAAAACAACATTAACTTACTATATAAGTACTTTTTTGGTATTAATTTACGCTATGTACGCGGTCACAAATTTTCCCCGGAAATTTGTCCAAGCGTACTTAATATAAATGTAAGGCATATAGTGACAGTCTTGGAAATCCGTGTAATTTTCTACACGCGGATTCAACAGAAATTTAGATTCCGCGGAATTATGACCCCGTGGTAAAAATTAAGTCTACAGTAAATGCTATGTACCTGTGTATAATATACCTTACCTATTTCACATCTCTGCCCTGTCCAGTTAGGAGGACAAGTACACCTGAATGATCCCATTGTATTGAAGCAGGTGCCTCCATGTAGGCAGGGGTTGGTTAGCAAACATTCATTAATGTCTAAAATGAAGAAATACATATGAAATGTACTGGTTTGTAATTCCATCTTAAAATAATCTGTACTTGCTTTATAAACTTTACAGTCACATCCCTTAAATTAGATGACCTTTAATCCAAAATTAAAATTTTTCCCCCTTCTTGTTAAAAAGAATATCCAAGGAAAGATAACTCCTATATAAAATACTGACCGATTTCACAGTTGTGTCCCTTCCATCCTTCCTTACAGCGACACCTATAGGAGCCGTGGGTGTTAACACAGGTCCCCTCGTGCTGGCAGGGGTTGGCTCGCTCACACTCGTTAGCGTCGTTCTGACAATATTCCCCTGTGTAGGCCTGAGAGCACTCACAGCGGAACCCATCCTCCAGATCGATACATCTACCTCCATTCATGCAGGGGTTTGTCAGACACTCCTGGATGTCTGTACACAAAAGAAAATTGATAGGAATTTTTATTTAATATTTGCCTTGATCAGTCTGATGTTTTGAAAACTGTAAACCTTATAAAATTAATGAAATCTCAAGATATAGGCTTCGAAACCCTCATTTCTGATACCAGGGATTTACTAAGTAATTCTATTCAAATTTTACGCAAAGAAGATAATTATTATAATAATGTTTAATGTCTTCCAAAATTAAATTATGAAAATCAATAAAAACTTCATCCTGTTTTGAGCCAAACATCCCATCTTATATAGAATACTTACTGATTTCGCAGTAGTCGCCTCCCCTCCCCGGGGGACAGATACAGTAGTACGACCCATCAATGTTGTTACAGGTTCCTCCAAACTGGCAAGGGGTGATCAGAGTCTCACACTCATTGATGTCTGTAAGCAATACAAAATCTTTAATATGTGTAAGATATTGTAAATAAACTTTATACATGTAACTCTGTTTAAAAGTTCTGGACATTTATTAGCTTCTAAGCAAGTCAAGAACTTAGTTTTCAAAATAAAACCCTAAATATCCTTTTTAAATTTTTTTTTTCAACCCTCTTCATGAAATGTTTTCTGGACAATTATTGCTTCATTCCATGCATGAGTCTATGACTAATTTACTTCACATCTGGATCAGAGACTGGGTTTTTATTGAGAACACTCCTGGCAGTTAATTTACCTATGTCACAGTGTACCCCTCTCCACCCTTTAGGACATATACAGACGAAGGTTCCATTCCGATTGTCACAAGTTGCACCATTCAGACAAGGGTTTCTGTCTTTTGCACATTCGTTGTAATCTGCATGACATATCAAGGAAAATAAGCTTAAAATAAGTCTTGTTAAATTCTTAAGATTCCATATTATATGTGAGTACTGAATATCGCAAAATGGTCCTTAGACATCACATCATGAGAACAGAACTTACAAGTAAATGGTTGATCTAGAGATTTTATATAGAGAATTAACACCAAAACCTACCTATGTGACAATGCTGTCCTGTCCAACCTTCTCGACACGAGCAAATGTAGGATCCGACTTTGTTAATACACTCCCCTCCATTCTGACAGACACTCATGTTTAAGCATTCATTTACATCTAGTAAATCAAAAATTTAGCTTCATTTACATCTAGTAAATCAAAAATTTAGCTTCATTTACATCTAGTAAATCAAAAATTTAGCTTCATTTACATCTAGTTAATTAAAAATTGAGCTGTTGTTATTTACATATAATATTATTGCATTGAAAAGGAAATTTGTCTTATAAATGGTCAGATAAATCTTGTACATACTATATTAGATATGATATTTTTCTAAATAAGAAATTCCTCACAAACTATCCCAATTATGGAAGTTCAACTTACGAACAGAAAAGATAAACGCAGAAGTGATAAACATCAGTAAATATCTGTCAATTATGTCCTAGCGAGAGATCTAGGAGAATGATAACTTACCAAAGTCACAGATCGGTCCGGTCCACTGCGGGGGACATATACACTTAAAGGAGCCCACCGTGTTCACACAAGTTCCCTTGTTTCTACAGGGGTATCCCTTACACTCATTGTCATCTAGAAAAGTTTAAAAAAAAAATATATTGATGTACATGTACATACAATTACTTTAATATTTACATAAGCACATATTGACAGTAAGTATGGGTAAGCACCTAAACAAAATCAATAGTTGCCGACACACAATAGTAATTTTCTACCAAAATATCAATGCATCTTTAAATATCAGATAATTTTTTACCCATTTAATTTGCAGTGAAAATTCAAATGTATAGCAATACGAGAAAAACAGGTTTAATTGTCTGCTTTACTTTTTGTTTAATCCTTTTCTTTGAATGTCATAACAATGTTCGATACAATTTAAACAGAGCTTGTGCATCAACGATACTGGACACTCAGAGATCTTAGAGTGAACAGTACGTTATCATTACTGACCTTCCGTACAGTTGATACCCGTCCAGCCCGGGGTACACAGACATTTGTACGATCCGTCCGTGTTTATACACTGACCCCCATTACCACAGGGATTGGCAATCAAACATTCATCTATGTCTACAATGTTATAAGAAAACATCTCTGAATACTCAAAGCACAGTGATACTTTTAAAATTTTTTTTTTGAAGTTTATCACTATAGAATAAAAATTTAAAGCTAATGAAACAAGATTCATTGTTTGTTTCTTTAAGATGTAAATTCCTTTTATTATGCAATTTCACTTCAAAGCAAAATAATACAATCCATATTAAAATCACATGTATTTTTCTTTTTTTGATTTATAATACACGAATGGTGGATCTTTTGTGATAATTTGATATCCATTGAAAATCCAGATCTGGATTGAAACATAAGTGAGCAGACAAGTGCTGTGAATGCATGCTTATATATTTTTCAAATCATTGTAAAAAATACAGGATTGACAAAAAGAATGCCATTCTTTCTTTGACATGTTTTTCTCCTGAATTAAGTTTGGGATCAGTATCTTACCAATAACACAGGTGGGTCCTGATCGCCCTGGGGGACACACACACACGAAGGACCCGACTGTGTTGGTGCAGGTTCCCCCAAACATACACACAGCTCTCTCAAACTGACACTCATCCACATCTAAAAGTCAAACAAGAAAAGAATTTATTAGTATTTTATGTAGGTCAAATATTTAGAAAAAGTAAACAATAACTTTGCCGTTTAATATATTATTTTGGATGTACTAAGACATCATTTTCGTCTCTTCAAATGTTCTGCTTGTCTTTTGCAAACTTGTTCATTTATAATCAATACATGTATTACTTTACTATATAAATCTGGCAAAGTATTGTGGGATAGACTTTTTAAGACATCTGAATTTTTCATCTGCCATTTTACCTTGAGTACAATTGGACCTGTCCATCCACTTTAATGAACTTAATGATAACCTCTTACATAAGCGTGGAATAAACAAGGACATCTTATTTTTTCATTTTTTCCAGTATAGTGTATGTGCTTTACCTTGAGTACAGTTAGGCCCTGTCCATCCACTCTTACAGCTACAGTAGTAAGATCCCGGAGTATTGAAACATGTCCCACCATTCTGACACGGGTTGTTCAGGCATTCATTGTGCTCTGTAAAATAAAATCAAAATCCAAATATCAAGACTGAAATCAATGTTTATTTGACTTTGAGCTCTATTCTTACAAAGGCACTTTCTGGTCCCTTGTTCCACATTTTTATTAAAATTTTTCTAATTATATAGGTTAGAGCATTCTTCAAAACAGCAGCATGAAATATGTGAATTTGTCATTCTTGACAGACTCAGGCTTTGAAGACGTCCAAGATTAGCACTGAGATCCTGAAATCCTGGATCATTGTTACTTACCTATCTTACAGTGGGGTCCAGAAAATCCGCGGGGACAGATACATTCATAGCTCCCGGGCAGGTTGATACACGACCCTCCGTTCTCACAGGGCCTCTCCATACACTCATCCACATCTATAAATAGAAAACATTACACAGGAGTGGATCATGGATGGGTAGTGGTGGAGTTCCATTCATGAATAAATTCATGAATAGTCTAAATGGAAAAGCTGGTACATGTATTTATGAATTTTCATGATTTTTTTTTTTTTTGTTTGTTTTTTTGTCAATGATGTCATTATCTATATAAGAAACACAAATGTAATTCATTTTCTTACCTATTCTGCATCGAGGACCTGTCCACCCTTTGGGACATTTACAAATATAAGACCCCAGTGTATTGGTACACACTCCCTTATTTTCACAAGGGAAGCTGGGACATTCATTTGTATCTGAAATTAAAAAATATATATATTATGCAATAACTGATTAACCAGCATAAAAGAGTACAGCTTTTGACATACTAAAGTAAACTCAGCCTAAAATTTAAAATAATGAGGTTGATTAATAATTTTATTAAATGAATCTTCAAACAAAATGAAAATAGAATGTCACCTCTTTCACAGATGTTTCCTTCCCATCCTGCTGTGCACTGACAGACAAACGAACCAGGTGTATTCAGACAAGTTCCGTTGTTCAAACATGGATTCGTAATACACTCATCGACATCTAAAGAGATGTCAACAAGATACTGTGAAATCACATACTGTATACAGGTTATTTTCGCCCCGTGTTATTTTCGCCCTTCTCAACCTGTGAACAATTTTGCCCCATTTAAAATTCGCACAGTCATAGTTCTGTTTAAGAAATTATGCTGTGTAATTGAATTTTTTTGTGAGTTAAGGTAATACTATGGGTTTGTTGAGTAGTAATATAATAACATGAAAAATTACATTTTTTTGGTGAATTAGTGTCTCTCTCATTAAAGAATGTAAAAATAATTTTTTTTTATAAAAATGTTTGGGTTTTTTTGTAAAAATTCTCAACTAGAAAACTGACCAGTCAGCAAGGGCCCCGCCATGGGGTAGAATTAATAGGGTGCAGCTTACGGAATGATTAAAAAATGTATGAAGAATAAGCAACAGCAACTGTATTCTTAAAATTTCAAGATTATTCCTGAATATTCAAAAACCTGAAAATAATATCCTTGTAGTTACATTTGGCAGTAAAGAACAACTTAACATTGAATGTATATTTAAACAATTATGAAGCTTGTGTTATATAAAATGCCAGCCTTCAATGAATGCAAATATCTTGAAGGTTTTACCTTAACTTCAAACAAACAGCAGTTGCAGACAAAGGTTTTCATTAATCTTAAAGTGACAGATAAAGAAAAGCCTAAAATTTTCTGCAGCAGGCTAAATTAATCCCAAGGGATTAATTTACATTCTCATCCTTTTCTTCTTAAGTTACAAAAGAACTTTTTCAGTATTAATGTTAGAATGGGGTTTTTATACAACTATCCTAAAAATTAATAATATTCTTGAATTAACATAAAGTAAAAAAAGTAAATCAAAAAATCTTCTTTAATCTATTTCTTGTTATTAGAATTCAATGAAATCATAACTATTAAACAAAAATAAGTTATAAAAATTTATATTTAAATCCACAATTCAGAGTGTTCATAGCATTCCAAATAGACTTAACTTCAAAACAAACTTCATTTGCAGACAGAGGTGGTAATTCATCTCAATTTGAAAAATTGCTCTGGATTTTCTTCAAGGAAGGTAATTAATCCCAAGGGACTCATAGCAGCATTCAGTTTACAATGGGAACATCTTCAGCAGTTATCTCTCTTTGCCAATGCTTTCGTATATAAAGTTAAGGAATCTTTAAAAACCAGGGGACATAATCCAAACTTAGCATCAAAATGTGTATTTCTGCCTACTGAACTACCATACCAAATTTGTACTTGATTGGGAAACCATAAAAAAAGTTGCCCATTCATTCTTATGCATAGTTAAGGAATCTACCCCACCACCCCAGCTCCAAACCAGAAGACATAGAGAACCAAACTTAGTATCAAAATATGTATTTCTGCCTACTGTACCATACCAAATTTGAACTTGATTGGGCAACCACAAAAAAAGTTATTAGAAAAAAACAGAAAATTTGTGGTCGGAAGAACACACTCATCAAAGTCTGAAAACACAATGATTAACACCTGCAAATCCTTGCAGGGCCCTAAATAGGGAATCAAGTAAATTAATCTTAATGCTTATTTATCAACCAGAGGGGATAAAAATAAACTGAAAATGAGACTGACCTATTTGACATTCAGGACCGCTCCAACTTGGTGGACAGGTGCACTCGTACCGACCAATACTGTTCGAGCATATCCCGTTATTTAAACACGGGGCACTTTGACACCAATCATCTAAAATAGCAATAAATATTCCATATTACTTTACATTAATAAAAAAAAAGCTTTGCATAATGTAAAGGCAATCCATAATTTATTAAGTAACATAACTGTTAGCTTTACAGAAAGTATCTGGTTTCCTGATTATTCAAACCTATAAACTACTGTAACAGCTTTCATGTATAATTATCATTTTACTTTTCTGTATAAGGTAAACCAAGAATAAAGACCTAATAATCTAACAACTTTCAAAGACCTAATAATCTCATAACTTTTAAAGATCTAATAACCTAATAACTTATAAAGACCTAATAACCTACCGGTAATAACTTTTACAGATAAAATATTTCAGCAATGCCTACCGACAATTTCACAGTGAATTCCAGACCATCCATTGATACAGATACACTGGTAGCTGCCTGGCGTGTTTAAACACGAAGCACCGTTCCTACAGGGGTCATTAACACACTCATCAGAGTCTGAAAACACAATAGAACATTCATAATATTATTCTGAAGTAAAATTTTACCCAATATAAAATGCGTCGACTGATAATCAAACTATGTGCCAAAGTATACTCTAGAAGTAAGCTGAGTAAGGATGCATTTATCTCTTGTATTCAATCAATGAATTATCTGAAATAAAACACCTGACTATGACAATTGTTGAATAAAACTTTGTGAATAGAAGAAAAGGTAAAATGTTATGTACAGTGTATGTCAATTGAGGGAAAAAATGAGATACCCTTTCCACAGAGGGGTCCAGTCCATCCCGGGGGACAGCTACAGTAGAAGGAGCCAAAGGTCTCCATACAGGTGGCTCCGTTCATACAAGGATTATTGGTACACTCAAACTCATCTACAACAGTCACAAAATATCTCAGTTTACAGCAGCATAGCCATTGTAAATTATAAAATTTTGACACCTACATTCTGGATTTTGAAAGGTATATATAAAATGTATTTTAAAAAATGTACATTTTAGGAATGATAAAATTTTAAACAGAATATTTCTTTCTTACAAAAATTTAAACATGACATTTTAGGAATTTTTCAATCACAATTAGCATTATAATGAGAAAAAGAATTATTAAAATGTCGCATGTCATATTTTTTTCAATACATGTATTTTTAATTGTGGTCAACTGAATGGTAGCCATACCTCCTTCACAGTGCTTGCCCCTGAATCCAGGTAAACATTCACACCTGTAGCCCCCGTCCATCTCAATACAGGTGGAGTTATGTTTACAGGGCTTCAGAAGGCTACACTCAGGTATGTCAAGGTCACACTGAACGCCCGTCCACCCTGGGTTACAGATACACCGGTAGGAACCCATCGTGTCTATACAGTCTCCGTGTCCCGAGCAGGGCAAGTTCATCGTAAAACATTCATCGATATCTGTAAAATAAATAATCTCAGATGTATTCAATTTTCAAGGTCTACATTAAATGGTGATATATGGTATTCAAAATAAATATTTTTCATCACTAGAACTGTTTTAAATTTCTGAGTATAATGACTGGTTCCACATAATTCTCAAACTAATAAAACAAAAAGTTCCCCAACCAAAAAGAAGTTACTTTTTAACACTTCTCTGTTCATGTTACATGTACGGGTAAATGGAATAAATTGTGAGTCTATACATTTTCTAACGCTGGACTTACTAATATCACAGTTTTGTCCCGTATATCCAGGAGGACATTCACACTTGTAGGATCCCTCCAGCTCGATACAGCCCAGCGAGTTCTTACAGGGATTGGTCTGACATTCCTTCACGTCTAGAAATCACAAGTACACATAAGGTTATAGTACTGTATATCACTTAATTTTCATGACACATCTGGATAATACAAGTTCCACTGCATATAATTAAAAAGAGAGGCAGAAGATTAATGAAGAAAAAGAATTCTAAAACATTGAAATTTAAGATACTTAATAATCATCCTGGTAAATAATGCAAATACAATGGAATACATTTCTAAGTCTACATACATGTATGTGTCTTCTACTTGACAAATGTTATTACAATTCAGAAAGGTTAGGAGAGAGTGTTAATTACCTAGAGTACAGTTATCCCCGGTCCACCCCGGGGGACAGGTACAGATGTATCCCCCCATGAGATTACGACAGGTTCCTCCGTTAGAACAAACATTGTACTCCAGGCATTCATGTATATCTGGATAAAAAAAGACATGGAGGATTTATTGATCAGCCGTAAGGATAAAAGTATTACATCTGAAAACAAGAGGCCCACGGGCCTTATAGGTCACCTGAGTATTGTGTAACAACTTTCAAACAATTAAATTTGGTTCGTGTTTTAAACCAGAGGCCATGAAATTCACAATTTTGAAAGAGACACCATTGCTTATCATAATTAAAAATACTCTACTTACTCAATACCCAGAGGTAGATCAGAGGTACAAAGAGAAAATGTTCTTCCACTTTATAACCAGTTGTGCACCTCACCCAAAAAGAACCACTGACCTTGGGGCCACATATTTCAAAATTTTGCAAATTTTATCATAAAATGGTTGATTAATACCAAAGAGCAGGTTTCAAAGCATTAATTTATTTTCAGATTATGTAGCCCCTCCCCCCCCCCCCTCGGGACATAAAAAAAAAAACAATTTTGCTAGATGCACCTTTCTTCATCATAAATATATATACTTGGATCATTGGCATAAAATTCACAATTATGGAAAAGGCACTCTTACTTTTCATAACTATATGCTTAGTTAGTTTATTTAATACCCAGAAGCAGATATTAAGAAGATTTTCAAAGAATAAATGCATTTTCACTATATAATCTATAGAGCCCCGCCCTAACACCAGAACCCCTGACCCTGGGGCCATAAGATTCACAAATCTGGAAGAGGCACTCTTGCTCATCATAACTATGTACTTAATTAGTTTATTTAATACCCAAAAGCAGAGAAGAAGATTTTCAAAGAATAAATGCATTTTCACTATATAATTCATAGAGCCCCGCCCTAACACAAGAACCCCTGACCCTGGGGCCATAAAATTCACAAATCTGGAAGAGGCACTCTTGCTCATCATAACTATGTGCTTAGTTAGTTTATTTAATACCCAGAAGCAGAGAAGAAGATTTTCAAAGAATAAATGCATTTTCACTATATAATCTATAGAGCCCCTCCCTAACACCAGAACCCCTGACCCTGGGGCCATAAAATTCACAAATCTGGAAGAGGCACTCTTGCTCATCATAACTATGTACTTAGTTAGTTTATTTAATACCCAGAATCAGAGAAGAAGATTTTCAAAGAATAAATGCATTTTCACTATATAATCTATAGTGCCCCGCCCTAACACAAGAACCCCTGACCCTGGGGCCATAAAATTCACAAATTTGGAAGAGGCACTCTTGCTCATCATAACTATGTACTTAGTTAGTTTATTTAATACCCAGAAGCAGAGAAGAAGATTTTCAAAGAAAAAATGCATTTTCACTATATAATCTATAGAGCCCCGCCCTAACACCAGAACCCCTGACCCTGGGGCCATAAAATTCACAAATCTGAAAGAGGCACTCTTGCTCATCATAACTATGTACTTAGTTAGTTTATTTAATACCCAGAAGCAGAGAAGAAGATTTTCAAAGAAAAAATGCATTTTTACTACATAATCTATAGAGCCCCGCCCTAACACCAGAACCCCTGACCCTGGGGCCATAAAATTCACAAATCTGGAAGAGGCACACTCTTGCTCATCATAACTATGTACTTAGTTAGTTTATTTAATACCCAGAAGCAGAGAAGAAGATTTTTAAAGAATAAATGCATTTTCACTATATAATCTATAGAGCCCCGCCCTAACACCAGAACCCCTGACCCTGGGGCCATAAAATTCACAAATCTGGAAAAGGCACTCTTGCTCATCATAACTATGTACTTAGTTATTTTATTTAATACCCAGAAGCAGAGAAGAAGATTTTCAAAGAATAAATGCATTTTCACTATATAATCTATAGAGCCCTGCCCTAACACCAGAACCCCTGACCCTGGGGCCATAAAATTCACAAATCTGGAAGAGGCACTCTTGCTCATCATAACTATGTACTTGGTTATTTTATTTAATACCCAGAATCAGAGAAGAAGATTTTCAAAGAATAAATGCATTTTTACTATATAATCTATAGAGCCCCGCCCTAACACCAGAACCCCTGACCCTGGGGCCATGAATTTCACAATTTTGGTAGAGGACTCAATGCTTATTACATTCATGCTAACAGTTTGCCTGCTCGATGTCCATGAGTAAAGAAGAAGATTTTTAAAGATTGCAATAATTTTAGTGGTTTTGGCCCCACCCCTCAGGCCCCAGGGGGGCGGGGACCATGAAATTCACAATTTTTGTTCCCCTTCACCCATAGATACTGTATACCAAATTTGGTTGAAATTGGTTCAGTGGTTTCAGAGAAGAAGCTGAAAATGTTCAAATGTTAACACACGACACACGACACACGACGCACGACGCACGACGCACGACGACGGACGAAAACGGATAGCAATAGGTCACCTGAGTTACTCAGGTGACCTAAAAATGCATTTGATAGTATATTTGAATGGACTTTTGTATGTCGTCCTTATTTTTGTGAAATTTGGCAAATCTGTTTTTACAGGGGAGGCATAATTTTGCCCAACATTTGAATATTGTTTTACATATGAATCTTCATACAAATATTTCATAAGAATTAATAAATTTTTGCGAGCATGCAGTCTTGTGTAATTATTAAAGAAACAAACAATAATTTCAAAAAGTTCTCTGGGAAATGAACTTAGTTGGTCATGTGATCAAATCCTGTGAAGCCCGAATCAAAATTGATTTAGAGTAATAAAAATATTTCTGCACTTCTTGATTTATGTACCTCTTTCACAGTATTTTCCAGTCCATCCCGTTGGACACAGACAGCGATAAGACCCAGGGGTGTTTAGACAGGTGCCCTCGTGTTGACAAATATTGTTTTTACATTCATCAATATCTAAAAAAAAAAATAAATAAATAACTTTGACAAGTACACTCCATTATGTCTTTAATAAAAAAATAATACTCTTGAAAACTTTTGCGATACAGTTGAACTTTGTTATTTCAATCCAACACTGATATCTCAAATAACATTGATACCTCAAAGTGATTTGGAAATCCATAACCTTCAATTTCTAAGAATTTTACACTACATATCTTGAGTACTCTGGCATCTCAAAAGTTTTTTTTTTCCTGGTCCAATTGAGTTTAGTTAACTGGGTTTAATTGTATTTTATTAGTTCAATGGTTGCTTTCAGACAAGATTACAGACTACTTACCAGTCTCACATAGGGTTCCTGTCCAGCCAGGAGCACAGCTACAGTAGAAAGAGCCAGGTCTGTTGAAGCAGGTGCCTCCATTCTGGCAAATATTGGCCTGTAAACACTCATCAATGTCTAAAGGAACAAAAAATATAATCATTTAAGTTACAAACATGAGCAAATATATTCCAAGATATTTTCATTTAAAAAAAATACCAAAATGTACATATATTAACAAAGATATAGAGGGAAATGGACACAACAGATAATGGTATAGAAAAAAATTCATTAAACTATTTCATTTTTTTGGGAGAACAAACACTTCTGCCTGTATACCTACCATGTTCACAGTTTTTGCCTGTTCTTCCCTCCACACACATACAGAAGTAGGAGCCTGGAGTGTCTACACAGGTACCCCCGTACAGACAAATGTTCTGGATGTCACACTCATTCTTATCTGAAATGCACCATTCATGTCTCCTTACAACAATTCCATTTATATTGTACATAACATACACTGCATATTACATTTAAGTGATTTCAACATTATTAATTTTCATATCCAGAAAAGTGCTTAAATGGGTCTACCATTTCAAACAAAATTTTCATTATAATTGAAGTTGTTGAACTCCTTACTGATTTCGCAGTGGACGCCTTCCCAGCCTGCGTCACATTTACAGTAGTAGCTCCCAATGGTGTCCACACAAGTTCCACCATTCATACACATGTTCATGTTACATTCATTGATGTCTATAAAACAAAACATCATGTGCAGACTATAGTAGTTTACATTAGGAAGGCAAGGAAAAGGGAAATAAAAGTTTATGAGGGTTTACAACCATTATTTTCTAGATGTATGATCTGAAATGACTTTGAAATTTAGTTTTTCTCTCTGTATTGAAATAAGCAGCCCTATATTTTCATTTTAAATGATTTTTGTCACAACTCAAGATTTCATCCACATAAACTGACAGAAACTGACACATGATGACCGACACTTACTGACTTCACAGTTTTGACCGGAGTAGCCAGGAGGACACACACAGTTATACCAGCCTGATATAGACTTCAGACAGGTGCCGCCGTGTTGACAAGGGTACCGCATACAGTGGTCAATTTCTGTTTTAAAAAATTCAGGTAATTATGACAAATTCATATAAATCTGTGAATATTTTCTATTAATGGTAAATAATATTTTCACTAGAAAATGTTTATTATTTACAAATATTCAAAATGTTTCCATAAAAATGCAAAATAATCAGAAAACTACCATACTTTTAATCTGAAATTGATTTTTATCAAATTTTAATTCTCCATACTCCTCAGCCCCCTCCCCCCAAAAACCATATTGAATTTCACTGTAATTGCCAATCCTGCTCACCAAATGAAGGACCCGTTGGCAGAGTGGGTGTGGCAGTATGTATGGGGTGGTAGGTATGCTCCATCTCGTGGGTCCAGTTTACTGGTTTCATCTGAATGACACAGGTTCCTGTCTCCAAAAACAGCTTCCCGAGATCTACGTAAGTTTTACTGCCAATCTTCTTGTTTGCAGATTTACTTTCCAGAATGTTAACAGCATTGCTTTGAAGGCCATTTGTCATTGTATGGGCAAAATAAAGTCCAAACTGAACTTTCCTTGGTGTTACATATCTAAAGAAAAAAATACAAGAGATTACAATACGAGAAATATGTTTCCTACCTTTAAATGCTGAAAAGTGAAAATTTTCTGGAATTATTGCAATCAAATGGCTTACTTGAAGTCCTTAATATAACATTCCAAAAAGTGTGGATGCAAAACACTGTCTGTATAGCTTTTTCTCACCTAGAAAAAAAAATCAAAATTTAAAATACCAGTACATACAAATAACATTTATTAATTTTGCATTGAGGAATTTGTCTATTTTAGTTATACCATAAAAATGCTTTTCAATGAGAGAATTTTTCAAAGTGTAGGTATAATTGAGTACTTACATCTTTACAGAATAGGTCCTGCTGTTGTTTAAACAGGTAGTTAGTTCTGTCGGAGAACTCTATGGGGATGCTCTGGTTGTACAGATCACATGTAAACCTCACCTCAGTGGCAGCTGTTAAGTATAAACTCAATTCTTTACTTATAAAGTAAAACACTCTTATAACAAAGTGCCAGGGACGCACGGTTTTGTTTTATTATAAACATAATTCATTTATATCTTTAAGTTCACAATATATTTTCGAGCCAATGAGAATGAAAATGGCTTCCCTGTAAGCTTCAATCTGTTATAAGTTTCTGAACACAGATTATACACATACATGTATTTTGTTTTGCCATTTCCACCAAAAATATGACAATTTATTTTAAATCATCGTAAAATTAAAACTTTTGAAATTTTATTCAGTTACAAAATAGCTGCTTAACTGTATTATAAAATTTTAACAATACACATAATGAAACTGTAAAATGTTCTGAACAATACATAATAAACCAAAATAAAATTCTTACAATACATTATTTTGCTGGGTGCCTGTGTGCTGGGGAAGTCCAGTGTGCCAGTGTGGGCGACATCGGTGGCTGTGTGTACGGTGTAGTTAGTGACCTTCATATCAATGTGGTACCGGTTCCAGATCAGACCCAGGTCCCCGACATCCACCACCTCGAATCCGTCCTTCAGGCGGTGGGGCGCCATGTCCTTCAGAACGTGGGTAATATTCTCCATCACGTAGGACCCAATAGGGGTGTTAAACAGGAGGTGGAACTTTACATTGGTTGGGAAATTCCTGTTTGATAATAAAAATATTTATCTGCATTTACATGTATATCAACACACAAAGCTGCCATAAAAGCAAAAGCCAGGAGAGTGCATTTTCCTACAAAAATATTTCCATTTCATAAGGCATAAATTTTCAGTGCTTATAGTTCAAAAGATTTGCAATTTAATACAATAAAAAGATTTAAATTTCTCTTAAAATTAACTGCAACTTACGTGAATTCGTCAATTTTACAGTCCTGTAAAAATTTGCCAACAGCTGTCCTCTCAACATATCGTTGAAGCTGAAAAACAATGTTCCAGGTAAAATTAAGCACACTATTGTACTATATAAATTCATATGTTGATTTATCTTGTTTGATCAAGATTTATCCACAGTACTAAGAATTACATTATTTCTGATATCTCATTGTTCAATACTCAGTTAGGCTAAACTTACATCATCACAGAAATGAGCCTGTAAACTTGCAAACTTTGGTGAATTTCTGTTGGCAAGATCAGAGGTGTACTGAAAGTCATAGAGCCCTGTGGTAATGTTAGCATAGGTCGCATCTGTAAAAGAAATAGCTTTATCTGTTAAATACTTGAAACCTAGAAAAAGCAATCTCAAAACCTGCACTTTTCTAAAATCATTTATTTATCTAAAATCTTTTCGAGTCAGACAACACTATGGATTTATTCATTGGACACTATTTTTTTTTATTTATCCTTCTTAATGGTTAGTATAAGAGTTATTTCCCGTTATCAAATTTATATTCTTCATTGACACCTATAAAACTTTAAAAAGCTTTCTAAATCTAATATTAAATGAAAAGTAAAAATCCATCAAATTAAATTATGTTTGTGTTGCTTCATCCATACATGACACAAATGATTAGAGGATATAACTAGAAAACTGACCAGTCAGCAAGGGCCCCACTGAGGGGTAGAAATGAAATCAATAAAAAAAATATATGAAGATTATAAGTAAGGCCATCCTTAAAAAACTGTTTGTTTGGAATTGCCGCCTGGAGGGTTTCAGACACAGGAGGGAGGGAGGGAAATTATTTTTTTTTTAATTGAAGATAAATTTAAATTTTTGATAAAAATCTCAAAACAAAAATACCTAATTTTACATAGATCTGACACCATATTTCAGTGTTTTGTATGGTGCGTGTGATACATGTAATGGGTAAAAAAAATGATTTAATAAAAAAAAAAATCTTCCTACTTTTGGTCAATAAAATTTTTTCAGGAGGGGGGCATTTCAATGAGGCGGGAGGCAATTCCAAACAAACTATAATTTTATTTTGGCCTAACAACTGTATTTTTAAAATTTCAAGATAATTCCTAAATGTCCAGTTGAAAAACCTGTAAATAGTAACCTTGTATTTGCATATAACAGGAAAACCTCATGTCTTATAAAAAAAATACATTAATGATTAAAAAAGATTTAAGGATATAATCATAATATAGGGTTGAAACTTGAAATCTAAAAGCCTTACCATATAAATTATAAACTGAACTGTTTTCAGCACTGACAGTGGGGTTATTATCTGATTGCCTGTTAAAATTAACAGCATTAAGGCAGAAAAAAAATAATTAAAAAAATAAAAATGAAATAGTAATAGTGAAAAAGGATATCTTGATACATATCTTGATTTTAGAATTCAATAAAATTATCATAAGTCATTGTGTACAGTATTTTAACCAAAATAAAGTATGAACATTATTTTAAATCTATATTTCAGATGTTGTTCACAAACACATTTGATGTAATAATTAATCCTAAAGGACAAATATTGCACAGCCTTCTAGAGAACTGTGCAGGGAACCAAACTTAGCATCAAAATATGTATTTCTGCCTACTGAACTACCATACCAAATTTGAACTTGATTGGGCAACCATAAAAAAAGTCATTAGAAAAAAACAGAAAATTTGTGGACGGAAGAATGACAGACAGAGTGATTACTATAGGGCACCAGCAAATCCTTGCGGGGCCCTAATTATAATATAGAACTGAAATCTAAAAGCCTTACCATATAAATTATAAACTGTAGAAGTGCCATGAATGTGTGATGGGAAAATTGTCAAGCCTGGCGTGTTGACAAACACATTTGATGTACATGTAAGCTTGGTCAGGGCCTGATGGTGACAGCCGTCTGTCAAATCCCGTCTTATCCAGAATGACGAGGTCGTGACCCACCAGGTACGTGTAGAGCTTGGTCAGGGCCTGTAGATCTGTCTGTACAAACTCCGGTGTCCGCGATTTGATCAGTCCTTTGAAGTGTTCTGGGGAGAACACAGAGGGATGTCGGAACCGAAGCTTGAACTTGGCCTTCGTGTATATATGTCCTGGATCTGGAGCCCTGTTAAATTCCAAAGTCATTTGTTTATAAAACTATTCTTACTTGCAATATGTTTTACTTTTATATTTCAAAATACAGTGTTTTTTAACTTAAAAGGTACTCACATGTAATCAAACATTTTGCAGTCAATAAAGAAATGTTTCAGTGAAGATGACATGTAAATTTTCTCAATCTGAAAAATTAAAACAATGGTATCATAATTACTGGTACATGTAATATTTAACAAACATGTTTCTAAGACATATCATATGCATTCAATGCATGATATAAGTATGTAATTGTTACATTTACTTACATCTTTACAGAATGCATGGGCATGTCTGTGAAACAGTGCAGAGTTTTCATCTTCTAATCGTGGATCATAAGTTAAATTGTACAGGTAAACTGTGATATCGGCTATGACGACTTGTTCCCCTGAAAAGACATTAGGAAAAAACAATCAAAATCAAATCTTGACAACGAAGCTGATTTTTTAAATAAGAATTTTAGAATATTAAAAGTTTTGTAATACGTTTATTGTAAACCAACTATTAATCACAACAAGTTTTACAACCAATTTGTAATATCTATCACTGACAACTTACTTTCTCGACCAAGAACATATTCTACATAAAATATATAATAAAACAATGTTTGCAAAAAGAAATATATGCGAGTAAAACAACATCACAAAAGTAGTCATTATTCCTTGTACAAAGGTAGGTTTACAGGACTACAGACCTGTGGGTGGGGGGATGGTCTTTGTGGGCTGAATGGTGGGCTCTCCCCCGAGGCTGAGGGTAATGTTGAGGACGTCTATCGAGGTCCCTCCCAGGGGCTCTATCAGGAGGTTCCCTATCATCCTCAGCTCCTTGTTCTCGGGGCCCAGGACCCTCTTGGCGTTGTCTATGATGATCTGTAATATGTCACTCCTCATGTTCTGGTAAGCTTTCCCTTTAAATCTCAAGTGGACAACTACATTTCTGGGGTCTTTTCTGTGTTGGAAAACAATAAACATTTTTTGCATTGTTCACAAATTACTTTTTTCAATTATTATGTACTTTAATAAATTCTGTAACATTAATCATGCTGTACATACCCAAAAGATTTTACTTGGCAGTCATAATATCTTTCCCTCAGTGGACTTAACCGAAAGATTTTGTCGAGCTGTAAACAGAATTAAAAGATTAAAGATTCCCGCTGCACATCTACTGTATATGCATGTTCATTTCTTTAAAAGAAAGACAGTTTATATATTAATTTCAATCCACACAATATTATATGCTTACATCTGTACAGAATGGGACAGCGTAGGAGTTGAAGGCCAGAGAGGTGTTGATTTTGAGATCACTGGTCCAGTCAGTTAGATTGTACACACTCACTGTTAAATTGGTCAGAGTGGCATCTGGAAACAAATAGAATAAAAATTATACACAATGTGGAAAAAAGTCCATGATACAGAATATTTGTCCATTAAAATCCTGCTCTTTTACAAAACTTTTTTTCCTTCCCATTCAAAGTAAATAAATTTTCAGCTCTAAATCTGAATTAATGCAAGGATAAAAGTAAATCTCTTTGCATGTGTAACTTAAATTTATAATATACAAACATCTAACATTATTCTCTTCATTACTATCAGAATTTACCTATGATATCAATATGTGGACTCCTAGTTGGTAGTACTGGAGGTTTAAGTATTTTATCGATATCAATGACAAAGTCCCCGAACTTGAAGTATCTGAGCCCATCCTTGTCCTCGTAGCCCGCGTGGGCTCTCAGTATCTTCTCTATCTCCTCTCTAGTGATCTGGCTATTAAACACCAGGTCAAAGAAAACCTTGGCTCTCTTCCCCTTGCTGGACCTACAAGTACATGTAATCTTATATTTTTGGACTTTTAAGTACATGTACATATACATATATATTTCTTAAATGCACAACATTGGTCTCTGTTGGTTCATAACCTTCTTTACATATAAAAATATATTTCATACAAGCATATATTTCAAACAAGCATATATTGAAAACCAACTATTACTTGAGAAAATTTTAAAATATTATAATTTTCTCAAGGTTAAAAAAAGTTTTGTGTCATTTTTGCAAGTGAGGAAGAGGGCAAGCAATCAAATAAAGATGCAAAATAACAGAAAATGGTCAAATGAAGTGAAACTCTGTCAAATTCATATTTTTTATTTAATTATTCTCACAAATATTTGCCACTGCTTGCACAGGAATTAATTAAGATTTTGTTTACAGTAACTGATGTTGGTATCATAACACAGTGTACAGAAAATGGTCAAATGAAGTGATGCTCTGTTAAATTAATATTTTTTTATCAGTCTTTTGCAATGAATGCACTAAATATTCAAATAAAATTCAGTCTCTTTTTTAACAGTATGTATAAATTATAAAAATTTTACATGTGTCTATATAATTCAAGATGTATACATGTACATGTATATGAATTTTAAATTTCAAAATTATTTTCAAGAAATATATGTGGGTCAAGGCTCTTCATTTACATATAGCCTTGAATTTTATTTAAGTTTATGCAAGCGGCATTAAATCTTCTCCTTTATCATTCCATGTCCAGTGGACAGGCAGTTTTTATGACCCACTGAATTACAACAAATGTGGACGGAAGGAGAGGTGAAAATTTGAATATTATTGCTATAAATAACATGATTCATCCCCAGAAAAAAAAAAACACAAGCTCTCCCTCACACAAGGAGATAAAAATAGAAAATCTTTCAGTTTTGTACTGTTAATTCTAACACCTGATCAGAGAAAATTTCCATCCTTGTAAAATCTTACACCTGACAGGGATTTGATCAGAGAAAATGTCCATGTTTGTTGAACAGAGAAATCAGACTCTCAACACATTGCTTGTCAGCCCATTTCATGCTTGACTTTGATACCAGTATATGTACATGTATGTATCACCAAAGTTCAAAGATGTGAAAACATGTCACTATGCAATCACTCCTACATCTGTTAATTTCACTTGCAAGAAAACCTTTAATAGAGTTATTTTTCATCAAACTGTGGCTCAAACTTTAAAAAAAAAAAGACACTATTTCTAAATTTTTGTAATCAAGAAAAAACAAGTACTGTCTAAAAGAGCAGTGGCTTTAAAATTGGATTGAATTGATAAACAAAATTATCCATATTTGTCAATATAACGAATATCATAATAAGTAAACAAAATTTAATTTTAAAAATATCAAAGTAAAAGATTTGGCCAGATTTAAATACTAATTAATCAAAAAATTACAATATTTACTTACACTAGTCCACTAGAGCACTTGCACATGATGGGCGAAGTTTCTGTCTGTCTGAAAGAAAAATATGAACCATGCTATGAAAACAATCATGGAAACAATCATGTGGGATACCCACTCCACATCCATACCCCCCTCCCCACCCACTCCTTCAATTTTCCAACAAACAAAAAAAGAAAGAAAAGAATATGTTGATCAAATTGAATTTTAAATTATTTTTTTATGCAAAAAAAAAAAATCAACATTAATACCAAGAAATAAGACATTATAAACCTGATAAAGAAAAATGAAGTTTGTATTCTAGTATGCAAGATAAGATATGAGTTTACATTCAGCAATCTGTGTGTGATGTCTAAGCTACAACTTAGATATTTAACCTCTTTATTCAGGAATCTGGGTGTTCATCAGATGTATCTTGCTATGTACATGTACTTATTAATTATGTTTATGCTTACTTGATCTGCCTGACAGCACATTCTTTATATTTGCCAGCCAGTGGACTGTCTTTCAGGTACTTGTCAATCTAAACACATAAAGAACTCATAAAAACTCAAAATACACAAGTTAATTTAATATGACACGGTGTACTGATGCAACAGGTACACCGGACCTACTACAGATATTTTACATTATTCTCTTCGTGCTAAACCTCATAAATATGGTTAAACAGGGTTTTTTTTTTCTTCAAATAACAAAAGAATGCTCTCTTTCCTAAAATTGACGTGGGTTTCAAAAGTTTTTATGACAATGAACATCATGAATATTAAGAGCAAATGAACCATTCCTTCCTAATAGGGAATTTCAGTTAAATACTAATGAACTGCCAGGGATGTTTTGAGTAATTTTGATTTGTTATAAATGTACATGTAATTCATTAAATCGGACGTTTATGATATATTTAAAAGTTACAGGGAATCAAAATCACTTTGCTATAAGCTACATTTATATACAATGTAATCATTTTTGTTGTGACCCTGTTCTACTGTACATTTTAACAAAAGATAGAGATTTTAAAAAAGAAGAATTTCCACCAAATTAAGTGTTTCACAACAGTAAAAGCTTCAAACAAATCACAGCAAAAGAAAGAAAGTTTACAAAGGAAACATATTCATTTTATCAGAATTATCACCCTTAGCAGGGGGATCTTTTCTCCTTATTTAAAGGATTCAGGTTCCTTTCATTTTTTTGTAATTTCCTTCCCTTTTGTAATTTCTAGTTAAGTGACACATTGGTAATGATGATGAGTCTATCCATTGCCTTTTAATTTCTGGGGAAGTGTAGAATTGTGTGCATGAAGGATTTTTTAAGTAACAGATTTAATTGTGCAGAATTGTTCGTGTAACATGATCGTTTGTGTAAGTTGTCAACAATAACATTGCAGCCACTGTAATGCTGAGTTGCCTACCTCTGTACAGAGGGGTAGGGCCAGAGCCTGTGCCTCTGCTGATGAGACATTCCTCATGGCCTCGTTGTACTGTCTGTTGAGGATAGGCATGTTCATCCTGGCCTTGTAAACATCTGTAACCACAAAAACAAACATCAAAGATATGGAAAAACAAACAAGAGGATGTGGTTATGAGCAACATCTTAATAAAATGTTTAACTCATGCATGTTTAATTAGGATAATTAAAGAGAATATTTTTTTTTTAAGTTTTTTGATTTGTAACACCCATCCCAATATCACAAATACATAAATAAAACATACACATATGGAAATTGAATTGATATGATATTTATTATTACAATGATCATAGTTTTGTGTTTTGCATCTATTAAATTCATTCAGTAGAAATCGAGATACTTGTGTGAGATTTCGTGTAGGGAAAGGGCAAATTCAGTTTTCAGCCCCTGTATCCAATACTGTAATCGGTATAGCCCTATGGACAAAGCTTTCTAAGAATATTACAGTGACATTTTTTTTTCTTTCATTAAATGTCAACAAACATCCTGATAGATTTCCTCACCTACAAACAAGTGTAATCTTTTTCATAAAAATTTGGATAAAAAAATCACACAAAAATAAAATGGACATGATTCCAACTTATCAAACTAGATTATGTACAAATTGGCTCAATATCTGCAATTAAGAAAAAAATAAGTAGAAAAATGTAATCAATTAATTTGCCTGTACGAGAGCAGTTTATAAGTATCCTAAAACAGTCTGATTAAACTCTAGTGCCAGTCTAGTTTCAAATTCTTATAAATAAGAATTAACTCTTTTATGTTTATCTTCCTATTCAATAAATGATTTGAAGTATTTAGACCAAAATGTTGGAGGGAAACTGTTTGAAACAGACCAGAGGTTAAGATTGATTGAAATTTTGTGGTTAAAAAGTTTAAAATAATCACAGTTTGAACTATTACTTGACATAAATTGTAAATTACTGGTTGTAGTCCAAAAGCAGCTTAATGGCCCCAGGCAGACAGTTTGGTTCTTGGGTTCAGATATTAATTTGATTAAGCTATTAGATATTTTAAGGTCAAATTCCAGGAAATGAGTTTCTTGGGGCTAGACCCAATGATGATCATAACATAATTGATTTAAACTTATTTCCCCATATTTTACCACTATAATTTTAAACATAAGTTTATGTATACAAGTGAATCAGTTTTTTTTTTACATCTTGCCAGTGGACTGGAGGATGGCATTTGATGCAAGGATCAACTCCTACCCTGCATCTCTAGAGCACACAACACTAACCATTTCACCATGTGAGCGACAAACTGTAATGAAACAACTGGTGGGATGATCAATTTACAGAAATTGGGACAAAAGTTGAAAGTATTAATTATGAATGAAGACACATATAATTTAAACATACATGCCAACTTTCCCGATTCTTAGACTAACCCTTTCATGCTTCCCGATCGGGAATGAAAATTGTTATTTCCCGATTTGAAAAAAAAACACCAACATTTCTGATTTTAAAAGTTTCCCTACCGCTGAATTTTGACAATCGGGATAACAATGTCAGACTTGTTTATTCAATGCACACAGATAAGTTTCATTGTTTATTTAACCAGATGTTAGGCCTAGCACAGGAAATCACTTCACGCTTGAACGCACGAAGTTGTCCACTGGTGCAAGAAGCTTATAGCTTGGGGCAATTAGGGGATTATCTTGTTAGTTTCAAAGGGTATGCAAGGTGAAACACATAGATTAACAAGATAGTTGTTTGTCATTTTATTAAAAATATAAATTAAAGACAATAAAATGCAAATCAAACAATAAAAACGGAATCCAAAGAGATCACACAAAGTAGAAAACTAATAAAGCATAGCTGCTGATTTTATCTATACCTATAATGAAAAATATTGTAAAGTTTGCCAGTTAAAATATTATTAAAAAATTAAATGAAACAAACAAGTGTATGTCAATTAGAATTTCTTTTCCCTCCCTTCTCCCAAAAGTAATATGTTAGGTAGATCTAGGTGCATGACTTAAGGAAATACCCACATGGCACCATCAAGCCTGACAAATTTCATGACTGTAAAAAAAAAATAATTCTGTTTTGGATAGGTGGTATAAATTTCTGTAAATTTAATATCTTATTAGAATTTCTAATTAATTGAAATATAAATAAAAAATGTTTCTAGAAACAGGACTTTACAGTATCAACACCTATTTATTTTTAGCCTTTGAAAAAAATGATTTTAAAGTTGTACAATTTTCAATTTTTCACTAAATTATGTGTTCTGGTAGAAAAAAAATGTTTACAAATGTAACTAAATACCCCTTTTTAGTGAGAGAGGCACCATTTTAGCAAAAATATTTCAATTTTGGAAAGAAAAACATTTTTTGTGGTAAATTAATCCTTATTTATTGATAAGTGATATCAATATTATAAATAAAAAAAAAATCATTTCATAATCATTTAATTTCACGGGGAGTTTAAAGCTTTGAAAATTGTTGTCACGCGCTAAATCCCCCATGGGAATTTTCATAAGTTGGCATGTATGTTTAAATTCAAAGTAAAACATTTTCATTCAACATTTTTAGTGAGGCATTTGCCTGATTGAGGACTATAGGCACTTTTTATTTACATTAAATAAGTGACCTTAAGCATCAGGGGAGTTTTGGGAAAGTGAAGGTTCTTTTTTTTTATTTTATAAGATTTGGCTTTGGGGGAAAATAAAGCCTTCGGCTTCACCCACCCGTGTTCCAGACTGTCATGTAAAGCGAGAGTGTAATTCTCTAAACTAAACTGTTTCTATCAATCCATATTTATAAATGATAAATAAAATTCATTTAAACAGCTTTTTTGTAAATTTAACGTACTCCAACAATGGTGGTCTGCTTTGATGCATTTTCAAAATGATTTTGTAAACACAGCATCCAAGTGTCGCCTGCGTTAGGCAACAAAAATCGATTTTGAGGTTTTAGACGCAGTAGTTTGGATGCAATATTTCGACATTTTCACCAGACAACAATATAAAAAGGTCTAAAACTCTTTTAAATCATCAAAGTAACACACAACCACACAAATCATTTCTTTTCTTTTTGATCCATTCTGAAGTTTGCCGCCATTGACGTTTCTAAGTGTGAAAATGATGTACAGACCTTCATATTCCGGAAAAAGATACATACCGTGATTATACAATCCTGGTGCTACAAGGGAAAACAGACAAAAAATTATTAATTGCACAGAAGCAAAAGCATTTTTTTTTTAATAATTATCAAGGATAGACGATGCATATAAAATATGGATGTTACTCAAAATCTCATTATTGTGAATTTTGAGATTGAAAATTTTAAATCTGATAAAACTTATTCATTTCACTCATAAAAAAAATTATAATATAATTTGGGTAGTATTTTTTCGGATTTAAAAATTTTGATAAAAGCTTATTTGTATCTTCTGTCATTTAATATGGAAAAAAAAATATTGTGATTCATAAATGATTACTTTGGATAAAACATTTAAAACATGAATCAGAATTTGAGCCTATATATTTTGTAGCACGTTTTTAACCTTTCTTTTTATGCATAAAAAAATTGTTATTATTATAGTATGGGGAATTTTTTATAGTATGGGGAATTTTTCATTTATAAGGAGTAAGGTTAAAAACGTCAATGTGTCTGTGATTTAGAGGTACTAATTGCGCGTTTTAGGCTGCAAACAAATTATATTATTTTTGAATCCCAGATACAAAGCATGGACGGAGGAACTGGGGGTGGGGGTGGTGTCCCCAATAATTTTGCTGATATTTCATATACTATATAAAACTTAGCTACTATATGCTCGTGCCCCCTCCCTCAATAAAAACGTCTGTCGGATGACTTTTTTGCCAGTGAAGGGACTTTTGAAATATATGAGAGAAGGCTTGCAACTCCTCTCTTTTTATGTATCAGTCGAAAACGATAATTTAAAAAAAAAGATTATAGAGACAAAAGAGCTACATTATTGATAATATATAGAGCATGTTAGAATACAAAAATAGGAAAAAGGTGACTCAACCCTAGATTTAAAAAGAAAGGAAAAATGGAAAGGGGGTCCATTCCCCAAGTGCCTGTGCCCCCCCCTTCCCCGAAATTGCTTACTATGGACCTGCAAAGAGCGACATACTAAATGGCTTGCCAGCAATTTATCAAATATGTCAGAAAAAATCAAACGCATATTTAGCTGTTTTAATAGATACGGCCTTATTCCATGCTCAGAGTTGCCGAATGTTTCGATTTATGAAATTAATTAAATAAATCCTAGCATAACACCCGCCCATATTTCTTTAAGTTCAGACACTAATCAACGAATTCAGAGATCTTGTAATTTTATTTCAACTAAAGTCACTGAAATATTTTTTCTCTGAAAATAATTCATCAACATACATTTTATATGTATTTTTTAAATATATAAGACAGACTTTGCCAAGGAAATTAATATTTACATATGTTTAATTTTCTAATTTTTATCGTTTGTATATTTGATAAAAAAAAATCTATAGCCGTATATACTCGCATTTTTTCGATTATTTATACAAAGATCATTTTAATTAAAAATACATATACTTACTTTCCATGAGAAGAAAATATATAAGTAATCCAATTCCGAAAGCAATTAACAAAGCACCAATTAAGAGTAAGAGCACAAGACCGAGTCTTTTTTGTTTCATCCTTTCCTCGGATTTTATGGATTTCCTGCTTATTATTGTGGAATCACTGTCTGATTGTCCGTGAACAAACTGTGCGTTGCCACCCCTCAGTTTCCCGTCTGGATCCTCCCCATGTCGGTGGGAGGAGTGGTGGTGTCGGTGGTGGTGTTCCCTCCTGTGAAGTGAGTTGTAGTCGTTCCTGTCACCCCCGCCGCCCCGATAGGATCGTGACGGATACTGAAAAGGGAGTAGTTTATTTCATGAATAGACCTTCATCATGAGATAGGCAGGACTTTTGAATTTTTTATTCTTTACAGTTGTTTTAAGAAAAATTGCAGTTATGGTGCTTATATTTTTGATTTTGTAAAAAAGAAAAGTAAAGAAATATATAGAAAAACAAAGGTGAACATTTTTTAGCTTCA